AGGTTATGTGGCCCAGAGTTGCAAAGCTCTTTAGAGAAGTTCCCTGTTCCCTGGATTCAGACTGACTCAGAGGGCCAGAGCCAAATATTGGTTTTCTTGGCCATTTTAATTTAACTTTAAGTCTTGATCATAAACATCCAGCAAAGTCAGTTTCACCCTAAATTAAGAGTGTTGGGCTTTAGCTGAAGTCTGGCCTACTTTGGAGTCATTCTTACATGTAGTAAGATGGGAAGCACAGCCTTATCTCAGGTAAGGGTAAGATTTATAAATCTTAGGTAAAGTGTTCTAGTATTGAAGCTGATCTTTTTTTTTTTAAATATTATTTTATAAAATTTACATATATTGTTGCTTGATGTCATATGAATACTAGGTAATACAGTATATTACATTTAAATTGTACCCAGTGTATAGAACTTTATATTAATCTTATTGATAACGGGTCCAGTTATAAAACATTAAATGATATAAATAAATCTCCGATATGTTATTTTTATAAGCCTAAAATAACCATGCAACTTTTTGGAGAACACCAGCTTGATATAGTTTTTTAAAGCTTCTATCTTAATGACATATACCTGGAAAATATGAGCACATTTAATATACAAAGAAGAGTAATAGTACCACAATTATTATTGATGTTTTTATATTAGTCAAGTTTAGCTTTTAGAGAAATAACATATTACAATATTGCAAAATAACAGTTGTTGTTTAACCATAGTTGTATATACAGACCTTCTTTAGCACTTACTTAAACCCTCTTATTTACTTAACAGACTCTCTTATCCAGAAACACATTTTCCTTCTATTAAATCCATACCTAGAACCTTCTAATTTCTCTTTCCTATTTGTTAACTCTTTCTTTTTTTTACATTTTTAAATAATCCTTGTAAATTTCTGAATTTAGGCAAATTATTTCATTTTAATAAGAGATATTTTGTTATTTGCAGTACACAATTATCTGTTGACCATTTCATGAAAACATGAACAATGTTTAAGTATATAGAATTATACTGTTGTAGGAACAGACAAGGCAAGGCACCTAAGATAGCACTGAAGATAGGGAAATAGTTTTATTTGGTTGCAGCCGGATTTAGAGGGCACATCTTCTGCTGTAATCAATTAATCCCCTGAACCCCAAGTTTAGGTTGTTTCAGAATTTTGTACCCAACATGTAAGGGAAGGGGCTCAGAAGTTCGCAGTCTGCAGAAGTTCACAAAAAGCAGTTTTTTTGTTTTTTTTTCCCTCTGTTCTGGGCAAGTTAACCCTTCAAGGACACTTGGGAGGGGCAGAGCTTTTTTTTTTTTCCTTTCTCTCCTCTTCCCCCCACCCTCCCCACACCTGCCAGCTGTTATCATGGAGCCCAGTTGGTAACTTCCTTATCTTAGACATGTAGCCTTCTCTGTGAAGCCCCAGCTCAAGGCCAGAGGCCTTGTTTTACATATTTTGTGAAAAACTAGTAAGGGGTTGTCTAGCTTTTGGAGTGCTGATTTTTCCAGCCAGTGACCAAGTAAAACAGTGCAACAGGAAAATAGGAAGTTTATCTACATTGAACTTTTTGTAGAGATTCTTTTGCCAAAAGTCCCAAAATCAGCCATGGTGAAGATTTCTGGAGAAGGTCAGTTAAGCCTTTTCTGTGGGCCTGGGTAAGGAGGGTAAGATGGGAAGGTGGGGCTGAGAGCAGGTCAGTGGATCTGAGAATGAGGAAGGAGTGATGTAAAAGAATAGGATTTTCCCTAGCAAGGAAAACTTGAGCAGTAGAACAGGTAGAGCAGAGGGGAGGATGGGAGTGAATATCCCAAAAAAGCCTGTAAGGGACAATTCTTAGTAACCTGTTTTCAGTGATGACAAAGCAACTTTAAAGGCCATTTTCACCAGATCTCTGATAGGGCACTGACAGGAGAAGAGAGGAGTAAGTGGGTGAAGGGATTCCTTCAGTACTTGCTACCTCAGAAAAGAGGCAATGTTTTGAGGAAAGACGGTTGTTTAGGTTTTTGATCTAGTGAGCGGAGGGGAGAAGTCAGGTTGTTCAGGTGGGGGAGACAGTGGAGGGGCTGGGCAGAAGGTTGAGGGTGAGGACCTAATTGAGCCAGGCGATAGGGTGGAAATTCATCAGTAGGGTCAAAAGTAGTGGATGAGTCCAGAGGAGGAGGAGATTGGGGATCAGTGGTTGTGGGTGTTGGTTTGCAAGCTAGAAGAATTTGCAGAGGTCTGCAAGAGGTGCAGAGAGCACAAGCAAGAAGAAAGCTTTGATATAGCAGCTTTTTACCCATTTTTTCGAATGCTCACAGTAATGGTAGAGATCCCTTAGAATGGAGGGATCCAGGGACCCAAAAGGGGGGCCATCTGCTTTGGTTGTCTAAGGGATAAGTGGGCCAGGCCTGGGTGCTATATTTGATCAATTTTGGGGGTTTGATGTCTGGTGTCAAGGAGAGGGTTTTGAGGTTATCCAAGAGGCATTGTAGGGGAGAGTCGACCGGCAGAGAGGACACATTACCCATGTCGCAAAGTAGTATAAGGAGGAGGGAAGGGGATGCAAACTTGGTATAGAGGAGAAGGAAGGAGACGCAACCGTAGTATAAGAGAGAAGGAGGAAACTGATTTATTGGCAAAAGGGGCGTCCCCGCTAGAGCCAAAAATCAGGAGTGCCTTAGTGGCAGGTTCGAGCTGCAGAGATTGGTCGTCACCGAATCCTGACAGTTGAAGCTCTCGTCCTGGACGGAGCTGGAGCCGTGGGAGACCTTGGCCAAGGCTTTTCTTTTCAGGACCCCTCCTGGAGAGGCCGGAGACTCGCAGGGCCGGAAAGAGAGACAGGGGAAGAGGGAGGAAGGGGAGGGTAAGGTTCTCTCTAGCAGCCGAGTCTTGAAGGTGTGAGGACTAGGATTTTAGGAGAGCCACAGAGATGGTGAAGGTCTGGGTGGACTGTGATGTTCAGTTCTCTGTTATGTGTCCCTGGAGGTTACACAGTCCTTTGAGGGAGACCTACAAAGCCTATGCTGGTAACTAACAGCTGGGAAGGGAAGGGAATAATTTTGAACCCAGGAGTCTATTCTGCCCTAGGAAGGAGTCCCTGAGGGCCACCGTAGCCTTGAAGGCTGTGGTGGGGTGTTTTCCTCACCGCAGGTGGGCAAAGAGGTTTGCCGGACAATCAACAGCCAAATCCTCCTGATACCACCATTGGGTTTAGGACTCCAGGAAGGGGAAACTCACCAATCGAAGGTCGGTGGTGGATGGAGTTCTGGCAGTCGAGAAAATGGGTTCAGGCCTGGGTTCAGGCCATCCGGTGAGTGGCACTTCCGAAGGAAGAGGGACCCAAAAGTGGGTTTTAACCCTCTCCCGGGTTTCGGCACCAATGAAAGGAAAGTGACCACAACACTCAGAGCAACCAAAAGATCTTTAGTGCAGCAGTGCAACAAAGAGAAAGGAAAGAAGGAAAGAGAGAGAGAGAAAAGAGAAGAGATGAACAGGGAGAGAGCAAGAGCAAGAGAGAGAGAGAGAGCGTGCGCGTAAGAAAGATAAAGAGCAAGAGAGAGAGCAAGAGAGAAAGAGCAAGAGAGAGAGGGAGAGAGGGGGGGGCCTGGCAGGAGGGAGTTTTTATAGCCCAAATCTAATGGGGCCTCTGGGTCTGCAAGCTGCCTTGTTGGCCCAAGGGGGGTTGAGTGCTCAGCCTTGAGCGGGACTTGACACAAACAGGTGATAAAGGACCAGATAGAGGGGGGTTTGAGTGCGTGGGCTATCTTGCAGCCAACATCTGTTCAGCCTGCCCTGCAGACAACACAGTTCAGCCTGCTCTGCACCCAACAGCTGAGGCTGGCTTTGTACTCAAGATCTTCCTGCCTCATCCTCCCAAACTGCTGGGATTACACTGCGACTGGCTGTTTTTACAGAAAACTTTTAATAATGTGGCTTATGTTATATTTATATTGGATGGTGGTATTCTAGACCGAGATCTAGAAGACAGAGATTTTTAAAATATCATTCTTCTGTACTTATCTGAGGAATTGCACACTTTATAACAGATAACAGTCAATTCTTTTGCTGAGAAAGTCAATACCTGACATTTGCTTTAGAAGATGTGAAGTGTTCTTGCATGTCATTTGATCCTCTGACTCTCCCAGGAATATAGGCAGGAAGTGGTATTGTTCCCATTTTAAAGATGAAGATACTGAGGTTCAGGAATGGGAAGGGACTCATCTAGGGCTACAGAATCAGATAATGGGTGCCTGGACCTCAGGCACTGGACCCTAAGTCTCCATGTCCTTTCTATCTTAAGCCCTCCATCTTTACTCAGCTCTCCCACCATCCCAAATTTGTCATATTCAAGCAGCAAGCATTGTTTTAGGCTACCTAAGCGTCTAGGAGCTGATCAGAAAGACCTAAAAGTAAAAGCATATCAAGGCCACCAAATGGCAGGTTGACATTTAGCAGCTCTGTTTTCCTTGAGTGATGCTGTAGTCTCATCCCTGAGATGCCAGTGTCATGGGTCAGGGCTGGGGCCTGCCACTGGGACTTTCAAAACTCCTTGATTCTAATGGGCAACTGGGGCTGGGAACCATTACTCCAAACCAACAGTCTCAAACAAGCAGCATGTGACCCAAATCTGTATTACAGAGGTGTTCTGTTTGGTTCCCACCCATAATGAATGTGTTTAAGTTTGATTTGGTTGTAGACATTTAAAAACATGGAATTTTCATATAAAAACCCATGTTTTTGGTTCCTTCTAAGGATTAATAGTTGTGTCTGCCCAGTGGCCAGTGGCTGGAGCTGAGCAGTGGCTGGCCTTTTATATAGACAGAAGTCTTCCAGTTTCTCACAGTCTACAACCAATCCTTTTGGCTCATCAGCCCCTTTCATTTATTTTCATTATATAACCCTTGTAGGGCTGCCCCAAGTCATTAATTTCTCTTGAAGCTGGGAAACTGAGGCCTATAGACAAGTAAATGGGAGCTGTGGACCTCCTTAGCTGCTGATTGAGCTAAGCAGACTTCTCTTTTCTTTTTCAGCCAGAGAATATACTGTGTGTAAATCAGACAGGACACCAAATTAAGATCATTGACTTTGGGCTGGCCAGAAGGTAAGGGGATGATTTTATTTTGATACTTTGACAAAACTCCTCAAAATGTCAGATACTGGGCTGGGATTGTGGCTTAGCCGTAGTGCACTCGCCTAGAATGTGCGAGGTGCTGGGTTCGATCCTCGGCACCATATAAAAATAAAAAATTAAAAAATAAGGGTATTGTGTCCAACTACAATGAAAAAAGAATGTCAGATACCATTTACCACATGGGTATTTACAGTGACACACTGTGAACTGAGAGTAAGAAGCAACCACCTCTGGAGTCAGGGAAGGCTTCTCTGAGTAGCCAGAAGGGATGGATGGACAGGATTTGTTAACAGTGAGCAATGGTGTGCTGGCAAATGTTTAACCACGAGCTGAAGAGGTGGAAAGTGAGAGGATGTAAGGTTGATTTGTAATGTTTACCATTTTTTGCTAATTTCAAGCAACCAATATAACATCACTGAATAGTTGGGAGGAGGTGCACATAATAGACTTTAGTGTAGCTGCGAGAATTGGTGGAGGCAGGGGAGACAATGGGAGTTATGGGACCAGAAAAGTGTATATGCTGTGTATGAGCAGGCTGATCTGAGAGAGATATGGTAGAAAATGAGGGTGCTAAATGAGGAGTCCTGAATGTTAGGTTCACAAATTTACATGTTATCCTATAGGTCATTGAGTTGTACCTGGTAGGGAAGTGAAAAGGGCTGAAGGTCAACTTACCAAAAATTAGTCAAAAGCTCTGTGGGGAGAGCATGCAGGTTCAGAAAGCATGTTCTATACCTCAGAATAACAAAATGTTTATAAAGACAATACGAACTATAAAAAAGCTGTTGTATTTTTGGATGGGGATTTGAAAGATGCTTAGATTTACAGTCCCTGGCAGAGTAGAGGTATACAGAGATCTTCAGAGGCCCCGGCATTCAGAAAGAGGAAACCAGGGTAACCCAAGCTGGACAATGAAGCCATCAGTGGATCTAAGTAATGACTTGTTAAGGGTAAAGGATGAGAACAGGATGGGAGATATCTTGTTTAAGCTGGATCTCCAGCATGTTGGAAGTCTCCCAGCTCCCAGACCAGGGTTCAGATTGGAATTAGAACACAAAATCATTTTTATCAGGTCCTGAGCAGGGCAAGGGGGTGCTTACTCCAAGTGCTATGAGACTTCCTATATCAGACTATGGTCATAGAGGAATCTGGAGGGAGGGTTTTGTTGGATATTTTGACACAGTTTTGGGGTGAATGCATAGGTTAACTCTTGTCACAATACTGCTGTATTACAAACCACCCCAAAACCCAGTGAGTTAAAACAACAATGATGTATTCTTTTTAAAAATTTGTTTGAATTAGGTATACATGACAGTAGAATGCACTTATATACTTTGATGTATCATACATAGATAGGATATAATTTCTCATTTTTCTGAGTACACATATTATAGAATCACATTGGTCATATAGTCACATACATACATACATTGATAATGTCTGTTTCATTCTACTATTTTTCTTATTCTCCACATCCCCTGATGATGTATTCTCATATACACATTTTTGAGTTACCTCAGGTAATGGTATACTAAACCTAACTCAGTTGAAACCTATTGTACTAGTTGGAATTTTGTAATTCAGCTGTTAAACACAGCTATTATTAAAACTAAAACTATAAATTAAATTTCTTTATAATTAAAGAAATTACATTAAAAACTAAGATACCATGTACTAAAAACATCCTACCTAATTGTTTTATTACAGTCTATGCTCCTGAGGTTATTTATGTCTCTTATAGCTGTATGGTAGAAATACTCCAGAATGGTAAGCAATTAAGCAGCTCTTCCCAAGTCTTCAATTAGTGAATTAGTGACTTTATCATAGTACCTTGAAATCAGCCATGGGAAATTAGTATTTACACCCCAGTAATTGGCAAATGCTACAAATCAGGGCTTTGTGTGTGTGTGTGTGTGTGTGTGTGTGTGTAAACTAATAGCTGATTGTTAAACATTTATCTCCACACCACTGGCTGAGAGTCAGTTGATCTAGGCTGAGCTTAGATCCAAGATGTGATCAGTGAGGTCACATCAGCTCCATGTGTATTTCATTCACTTCTCATGTTAATAATGGTAGAGGAGCAAAGGACAAGCTCTCATGGCCTAGATAAGAATTGGCCCAATGTCACTTCCACCCACATTCTGTTGATCAGAGCAACTCATATGGCCAACCCCAACATTAAGGGGAGGAGTCAATAAATATATTATACTTTTAGTGAAAGGGACACAATGAGACATTGGGAATGATAATGCCACCTGGGAAGGGGTCGAGAGAATAGGCCTTCTCTTCTTGAGAGGAAGGCTGGTCCTCTCATTTTTCCTCCTTTACCAAAAGTATTGGGCCAGTTGCTAGTGCAGGGGAAGATTAGATTGCCAGAGGAGGGTTTACATGCTCTCTCAGCTTCCTGTTGGAAATCCCATCAACCCCTTTGTTGTTCTTTCCCTGGATGAATGTAGGTTGTATTGGCCCTAGGTCTGTATTTACCTAGATCCCAGTAAATTGGAAGAGAAGATTCTTTAGAAAGTGGTTTGAAGGAAACAGGGTATTTTGGCAGAATAATTATTTGATTCATTTTATTCTTAATTGACTCATCTATAAGATGAAGACAATAAGCTTACCTTACCTATTTCATAGGGCTATTGTGAAATGAAAGGTATAATATTGGTATGTAAAAATGTTAGCACAGTACCTGACAGAAAGTACCCACTAAATTTTAACTAGAGATTTTCTTCTCCTTTTAGAGTGATTCTAAAAAGCACAGTTTGCCACCCTTCTTCCACTCAGCCATCAACTCTCTTTTTAGCTTTGCTTAAACTTCATGCCCATAACATCTTCTAATTCTTTGTTTTGGGAATCATGATTTTAAAAACTCACATAATATACAATTTACCACCCAATGTCCATTAATGGGTGAGTGAATAAAGTAAATGTAGAATATATATGAAATAGAATACTATTTCACCTTAAAAAAAGGAAGTATTATTTGAAACATGTATGAACCTGGAGGACATTATATTAAGTAAAATAAGTCAGGCATAGAAAAACAAATATAGCATAAGCTCACTAATACATGGACTCTAAAAAGGATGATATCACAGAAGCAGAATAGAATGGTGATTACTAGGGGGAGAGTTAGTGGCATTGGGGAGATATTGGATAAAGAATACAAAGTTTCAGCTGGGCATGGAGGCTTATGCCTATAATCCCAGAAGCTCAGGAGACTAAAGACAGGAGGGTCGTGAGTTCAAAGCCAGCCTCAGCAAAAGCAACTCTGTGAGACCTGTCTCTAAATAAAGTACAAAATAGGGAAGGGGATGTGGCTCAATGGTTGAGTGCCCGAGTTCAATCCCCTGGTACAGGGGAAAAAAAAAAAAAAGATAACAAAATTTGAGAGAAGAAAAATAAGTTAAGGAGATTCATAGTACAACATGGTGACTATAATTAATAACATATGTTGTATATTTGAAATTGCTAAGAGAATAGATTCTAAGTGTTCTCACCACATAAAAAAAGTGAGGTGCATGTTAATTAGCTTGATTTAGCTATTTCAAAAACTATACATATACCAAAAACACCATGCTATACATCATAAATATACAATTTTTGCCATTTAGGATAAGATAATTGAAAAAATTACCATCTTAATTTTAAGTGTACAGTAGTACAACTGTAGTAGTGCATTATTGTGCAATCAGCCTCTAGAACTCTCTCATCTTGTAAAACTGAAACTCTATATCCACTAAATAACTTCCCAGTTTTCCCCTGCCTCCAACCCTTGGTAACCACCATTTTATTTTCTGTTTCTGTAAATTTGATTGCTCTAGTTACCTCCCATCAGTGGAATCACATGGTATTTATGACTAGTTGATTTCACTTAGCATGTCCTTATATTCATCCATGTTGAAGCCTGTATCAGAATTTCCTTCTTCTTCTTCTTCTTCTTTTTTTTTTTTTTTTTTTTTGAGAGAGAGAGAGAGAGAGAGAGGGAGAGGGAGAGAGAGAGAGAAGGAGGGAGGGAGGATGAATTTTTTTTTTTTAATATTTATTTTTCAGTTTTCGGTGGACACACATTTTTATTTTATTTTTTATGTGGTGCTGAGGATCAAACCCAGTGCCCTGCACATTTGTGCCACATCCACAGCCCAGAATTATCTTCCTTTTTAAGGCAGAATAATATTCTATTTTCTTTATTCATTTATCTGCCAATGATCACTTGGGTGGCTTCTACCTTTTTGCTATTGTAAGTAATGCTACTATGAACACGGGTATATACATATCTTTTGGAGCCCCTACTTTCAATTATTGCAGATCAACTTACCCAGAAGTAGAATTGCTACATCACATGGTAATTCTATTTTTTAACTTTTTGGGTAACTCCCTTCCTATTTTCCATAGGGCTGCCCTATTTTACATTCCCACCAACATAAATTTTCTAGTACCTCTACAATCTAATTGAAATTCCCTTCCTTTCTACCTTCTATGAGGTACACATACTTACCGGGGTTCAGTGAAGTGGTATCACTTTGTTGTTTTGATTTACATTCCCTAATGATAAGTAACAAAATCTTTTCTTCTTCTTTTTTTTTTTTTTTTTGGTACTAGGGATTGAACCCAGGGGCGCTTAACCACTGAAGCATATCCCCATCCCTTTTTATATTTTGAGACAAGGTCTAAGATGCTGAAGCTGACTTTGAACTTGGAATCCTCCTGCCTCAGCTTTCTGAGCTATTGGGATTACAGGCGTGCACCACCATGTCTAGCTTTTTTCTTTTTCTAATTCTTACCATCATCCCTTAAGTCACTTTGTGCACATTGACAGAGCAGTCCCTTCCCAACATCTTCTATCCCATTTGTACTCACTCGTATAGCTGAATAGCCCAATAAGATGTATTGATATTCTCTCCTTTTTTGGCTGTAAATGCCTAGAAGAGGATTGTGGTTTTCTGTAAGCCACATGTGTGGTGTGTGAGGTTCAGGTAATATGCTAGACAGAGGGTCAAACAATGTCTCCTCCCACCAGGAATTAGTCCCAGCATTCACATCTTCTTCCATGTTTTTCTGCATTCTCAGGTACAAGCCTCGGGAAAAGCTGAAGGTGAATTTTGGTACTCCTGAATTCCTGGCCCCAGAAGTTGTCAACTATGAGTTTGTTTCATTCCCCACGGACATGTGGAGTGTGGGAGTCATCACCTACATGCTGTGAGTGCTTAGGGGCTCTGAGGTGGGGCTGGGGACCATCTGTTTTACTTTGGGTATCCTTTGGAGCAGCAAAAACTTGAACACAAGTAGTTTATTTGGGAAGTGTTCCCAGGAAACACAAATAGAAGAGTAGGGTAGAGAGATGGGAAGATAGCCAGTTAAGGGAGTGAATCAAGCCAGTTAACCATATTTACTAATGGATCCTATTTCTTTTTTTTTTTAATTTTTTTTTTAGTTGTAGTTGGACACAATAGCTTTATTTTATTCATTTATTTTTATGTGGTGCTGAGGATCGAATCCAGTGCTTCGCACGTGCTAGGCGAGGGCTCTACTGCTGAGCCCCAGCCCCAAAAGTTACCAATTATAATAGGCTAATATGGGGAAAAAAGTTAAGATATAAAGTTGTCATTCCCCAAAATAAAAGTCTGAATACCTCATTTCTTCATAATGAAGGCTTACTTAGGACTTAGCACTCTATCAAAGTCATGGGTTAATAGTCATGGGTTGAGCCACTGAGTTTTTGAGACTCAAGACATAAAATAATAATTGGAAATAACCAATACGGTAAGGTCCATCTGCGGGCAATTGAAGTTTAATTCTACCAGGGAACTCTGAAATCATTGTGGAGTACTTACTGAGTTATTTATATACCAATTTTTATTTGTTCTTGTTTGTGGGCTAATCCCAGGTGTGTATGTGAGGGTAGAATTAATTTCCTGGTTAGTAAAGCAAGATTTAATTGGAAAAGCTTCAGGAAAGAAATGTGGGTGCTTGTCACCGGGGGCTGGAATGTATCAGAGGCTAAGGCAAGGGGATGCTGGGCAGGTTGGACACTATTGTGTCATCTTACTTTGTCACTTCTCCTTGTTTCTTATCTACAACTGTGGACTCCCCTTTGCTATTTTTTTAGAGGCAAAAGTCGTGTTTTACTTCTTATTCTCATCATTACTGTGTTACTGCTACCTACATCCCTGCACTTTGTGTCTGCTGCATCAGGCTGGGGAATTTTAGAGTCAGACACTTAGGTTGCCCTGCCACTCGGTCCTGAATTTAGAAGGAGCCTAACAAAGCCAATTTCCCTTTGGCTCAAGGTGAGGGTAGTATCTGAATGACCCCTGCTTGTTGAAGAGACACGGAAAACTATTTTTAAATTAATGTATTCCTTAGCCAGTATGGAAAGCAATATGAAGATTCCTTGGAAAACTGGGAATGGAACCACCTTTTGACCCAGCTATCCCACTCCTTGGTCTATACCCAAAGGTCTTAAAAACAGCATACTGCAGGGACACAGCCACATCAATGTTTACTGCAGCACAATTCACAATAGCTAAACTGTGGAACCAACATAGATGCCCTTCAGTAGATGAATGGATACAGAAAATGTGGTATATATACACATTGGAATATTACTCAGCAATAAAAGAGAATAGAATCATGTCATTTGAAGGTAAATGGATGGAGTTGGAGAATATAATGCTAAGTGAAATTAGCCAATTCCAAAAAACCACATGCAGAATGTTTTCTCTGATATAAGGAGGCTGATTCATAGTGGGGCTGGGAGTGGGTGTATGAGATTAGACGAACTCTAGAGAGGGCAAAGGGGAGGGAGTGAAAGGGAGGGGGCAAAAGGGTAAAAAAGATGGTGGAATGAGATGGACATCATTACCCTAAGTATATGTATGAAGACACGAATGGTGTGAATGTACTGTGTATACAATCAGAGATATGAAAAATTGTGTCTATATGTGTGATGTGAATTATAATACATTCTGCTTTCATATATAACAAGTTAGAATAAAAAATTTTTAAAAATTAATATATTCTGGACATACTGAGTTGACAAGAGGTGAGAATGATAGGGAACTTATTCCAAATACCATTCCTACCTCTAAAGTTTTAAACCTTCTGTCTCCTTCTCTTAACACGCTGAACTGTATCCTATGAAGAAATAATAGGAGTATTTTTCTTTTGAAGCCTTTTGATTCTGGTTAGGTCTGCTTGACCCTCATGATTCTTCTCTATTCTTTTGAAGTGCAGCAAATGTGGCTTCCACAAACTGATGGTTCTTTCTCTCCTCTATAGACTCAGTGGTTTGTCCCCATTTCTAGGGGAAACAGATGCAGAAACCATGAATTTCATTGTGAACTGTAGCTGGGATTTCGATGCTGACACCTTTGAAGGGCTGTCAGAGGAGGCCAAGGACTTTGTTTCCCGGCTACTTGTCAAAGAGAAGAGGTACCCTTTACTGCTTGTCATAGACCATTCTGATGGTTACCCTAATCTGGGTGCTGTTCTGGCCTGTTGAGTCCTTTCTTTCTTTAGGATTTCTTAGTCTGTATTTCTTCAGAACAATAAAGGGAGCAGAGGAAGGGACAATCAATTTTAAAACAACTAGAAGCATAAGCTCTAGGAGAGTTTTAGAAAAATGCATTATTTACAAATGGGTCACATTTTCAAGTTATAACTAAAAAAAAAGTCAAGAAAAAAAATCATCATTCTCCAGAATAAAGGTCTGAATATCTCATTTTTTTAGTGATGGAAATCTATGCTGACTTCTTCAGCTCTTATTAAAGTCATGGATTGAACCACTGTGTTTTTTGATACTCAGACAAAATAGTAACTGAAAATAACCAAAAGTATTAGTGACCCAGGAGTAAGGCTCAAGAATCTGGTCTCTAAGGCAGCTTATTGTTCTGTGATCTTCAGTTTTTTTCCTGATGGTGATAGGTTATGTGAGAATAAAAATAATTCTAATTCAAAAGAATCACTTGACATTATCCTCTGGAAGGAAAAATAAACTTCCTTTAAGTGTCAGGTTCTTTTACCTATTAAGAGCAATCTGAGGTACAGATGGCCTTCTAATGCTGTTTCCTAGCCCTCTCTGGGTGGTGGAAATTAATCACTTCTGTAGAGGTCAGGGAACATTCTGATGGCAATTTACTGGCAATTTTAAGGAGCAAAATTTTAGATAACAAGGAGTTCCCTTTTGGTATATGGCATGAATCTGTCTGAATGATTAATTTGTTCCACTGACTCAGGCTTCCATCCAATGGAAGTTTTGGACAACTAGAAAGGGTAACCTCAACTAAAAGTTTGACTCCTATTTGATTTCACAGCTGCAGAATGAGTGCCACACAATGCCTGAAACACGAATGGTTGAATAATTTGCCTGCCAAAGCCTCGAAATCCAAAGTTCGTCTCAAATCCCAACTATTGCTGCAGAAATACATGGCCCAGAGAAAATGGAAGGTATTTTTTTCTTTCAGTAAAGGCAACATTTATCTTCTGTACTTTGTAAGAGTTTTAGCTAAGTTTTTACTTACATTTTGATTTTGAATAATTTAGGGGAAAAAATCTATTCATATCAAAAACCATTACTTGATTAAAATATACCATACACTAACTGGGTGCAGTGGTGCATGCCTGGAGTCCCAAGGATTTGGGAGGCAAGGCAAGAGGATCACAAGTTTGAGGCCAGCCTTGGCAACTTGGTAAGACCTCAGCAACTTAGGACTGGGGATATAGCTCAGCGGTAAAGCACTGAGGATTGATCTCCGGCACCAAAACAAGACAAAACTACACACCAAAACTAACTGGAATAAATGTGACTTTTAGTTTGTAGTTATATGGACACTTGAAATGGCAGAATGAAGTTGAGCATAGGTTCTCAGTGGTAATAGTGGTGAAGCTCTTGAACTAACTGGTTATAGCTTGAGGCCTACTTTTCAAGCTGCTGAAATAGGGGTTGAGAAAGTCCTATTTAAATTTTAAAAACTTTATAATTTGTTTATAACAGAACTCATTCATACCACAGACATAGAATATATCTTAAAAACAAGTAGCTTTCCAACAATTTGGTACGGACTCAGATCCTTGCAAAAAAACCATGAGCTTTTTTTTTTTTAATATGTTTTTTAGTTGTAGACAGACACAATACCTTCATCTTATTTATTTATACTTATGTGGTGCTGAGGATTGAACCCAGTGCCTCACACATGCTAGGCAAATGCTTTACCAACTGAGCTACAATCCCAGCCCCACAACCCGTGAATTTGATTACACAACCTACTGGTGAGTTGTGATTCAGTTTGAAAAACACTGCTCTAGGGTGCTCCCCTTTTCATGTGAAAAGGGCAGAAAGACATCTCACTTCATACTTACTTGAAACATACCATTTAAGGTCATATAACTATTTGACTATAATTATTCTAGAAATTTGTTCTGAACAAATCCAAGTAGTAGATTTGTTTAAGTCATTATATATCTTCTTAAAGCCATTGGTCTAAAAATATGCTTTTTATTTTTTTTTAACTTCTTTCCTCAAGAAACATTTCTATGTGGTGGCTGCTGCGAACAGGTTAAGGAAATTTCCAACTTGTCCCTAATCTTCAACTCTGCTGCTCCAATGGGCCCAGAAATTATTGAGGCCAGTGGTGATGTGAAGAGATGACTCAAGATTTTAAGTAATCTGACCTTCTACTATTATTGATTCCTCTTATTTTGTAAAAAAAAGTTCTGGCTATTGCCTTCTGGACAAAAGTGGCTATAAAGAAAATATCTTAGGAGCTTTGTTTCTGCCTTGTAAGATCACTAGGTTTGAAATGCTGTGTTTACTTTTCAAGTATTCCTCCTTTTGACAATAAGCGTAGGCATGCTTAGGTAGGTAGGAAAGGTCCTACTTTGCATAGAATCGAATTAAATTCTAAATTTAATGTGATTAAAGAACTCATTAGACACAAAGATATATTATTATTATCTCTTCCAGTACAAAGAATGCCAAAACAAGAATTCCTAGACGTTTGATTTATCTTGGACTTCCTGCTCTAGTGTCAAGCTATGTGGGCTTAGGACAGTAATCCTCAAATTTGTTTTAATTTATGCTCCCTTTGAGAATCAACATTGATGTGTATTCTTTAGTATCGTTTGCAATCTTGAAATATATCAACTGTTACAGCTAAATCTGATAATTCGGAATGTGTTTTTTAAACTCTACATACCTTCATTCTTTCCTAATTTTGTCCCGTCCTGACTCCCTTTTCTTGGGTATGAATCTCTGGTTTTGTAAGCCTGGAAGCTGATCTATAAAATATAATGTAATGATGTTCAGCTGAGAGAAATACAGGAATGTTACATTATGAAGCAATAAAGGAAAACTGCTCTCTTACTGCTGTAGTAAGGACATACTACTTTCAGTGTTGTCATTCTTTAAACAGACAATTCATGTGAAAAGGGCAGAAAGACATCTCACTTCATACTTAAACAGACAAAAAATGTAGGGGCATTTTTAAACATTTATTGTAAGCATTTATGAAATCATCCATTCACTGAAATCTTCTCAATGTAGCAAGCAACATATTTACTAACTTCTGTGTATATTTGAACACTTTCCCAACTTATAGCGATTAAGAGGAACACTTTATTATTTGAAACATTCTTTTTAATTTCTTTGGTTTTGATTCTTGTGCTATTCCCAATACCTTCTCAAGTTACCAATACCTTCTCAAGTTTAGTTGGTGTAGTGATTTTTAATTTTTAATCAGACATGCAGCAGTTTCACAGCCTTTCCAGGATTCTTCCCGTCCAGAATAAAGAATTTTCTTGGTGTAGAGAAGGAAGCAAAAGATGGAGAGGTTATCCTGATGGTGCAGTTCTCAAGTTGTAACTTTTGTCTGGGAAGCTAACCCTCTTAGGAAAGGTCAGATTTTCAGTGTCAGCACCTCCAGGCCTGCTCCAACTTGGCCAATTAATAAGTAAACATCAGAAACTATCTGAGACAATACTAACAATTTGGTAAAATGTTTTATTTTTTAAGTGTCAGTTATTTTTCTGGAAAAAGTTTTTTGAGGGCAGCCTATAGAAGTTAATTAGGATATTTTGTAGTTTCCCTTTGTACAACAGTTCTTATCTCTGGGACGTATGATCCTTGGGAAATAATATGAATCTACACAAATAAGAGGTAATATGACATTTAGCCCCCAATTTGAAACTCAAAGGAGCTTTTATGAGGGCTGGGGTTGTGGCTCAGCTGTAGTGCACTTGCCCATGCATGAGGGACTGGGTTTGATCCTCAGAACCACATAAAAATAAAATATTGTGTCCACCTATAACTAAAAAATAAATATTAAAAAAAGGAGTTTTTATGAAGCTTGAATTTATGGATATTTTTAGTTCTCTACTTGCCGGTGTGTACTTACCTCAAAATATTTTAGATTAGAACAGTGCTAGTATCAACTATTTCTAATGGGACTTTATTCATTTGATGAATAGTCATTGGAAATTCTTGGGCAGAGAAACTAAAAGGTATCAGGGTCTACCTTATTCATTTATAAGGCTGGTGAAAAGTTTGTAAGGGTGTGGGAAAAATGTCATTTCTCCATTTAAATATTGGCACCTACACTTTATGTAGCAATTCTATTTTTGGAAATTTATCTCTTAGTACTTGAAAAAATATGCAGAGGTTTATACAATTTTTTTTTTTTTTTTACTATAGCACTGTTGCTAATGACTCAATGAAAGTTTGAGTTAAATAAATTTTGCATAATTCACAGCTATTAAAGATAGATCTAGATCTACTAAAAGTCATCTTCTCATTTAAAAAATTATAGAACATGGGATGGGGGTGTGGCTCAGTGGTAGAGCACTCGCCTAACATGTGTGAGGCCCTGGGTTCAATCCTCAGCACATGTACAAATAAATAAAATAAAGGTATTGATTCCACCTACAGTTAAAAAAAATTATATATATATACATATATATGTATATGTAATTTTTTTAAAATTATAGAACATATGTATGGCATCAACCCATTTGAAGAGACATATGCTTATATGTGCATTAAAAACTCAAGGATATGCAAAAAACTTCACAATACGGTCCAAAAAGCCGATGAGTGGGAAGGGGTATTCTACTTTTTACTTCATAACTTTCTGAATCATTTGAATTTTTCCTTTTTTAAGCAATGAACATGTATGTATTGCTTTTACAACTAAAAATTAGCAACCCAATGTTAAGTGTGGACTTTGTTTGGACTTTTATTTGAATAAAAGTAAAAAGATAATTCAGAGTCATTGAGGGAATTTAATTTTAAGTTTGATAGAGCTGAGCCTCCAAAAGTTTTTTATATAAAAACAGTACTGAAACAGATGGATTTACTAATTAGTAATCTTCCATTACTGGGGTATAATCTTCCATCACTGGGGTGTGAATGTATTGGAAAATTGTAAAAAGGACTCCTGCCCTAAAAGGGCATTTGGACCAAGACTGCTTTCAGCAATTCCCCACTCCCTCTGCTACATTATAAATAATCAAAATAATTACTAATACCTGCCTTTAAAGAAAATTTATTCTCACACATGAATAAGGCTCAGAAATTTCAGATTTACCAGAATCTCATCTTAATAGTGTAATTTCAAAGTAAATGTGCTAATAAACTCAAAATGAATGAAATATCTAATAGTAAGAGTCAAAACTATAAAACTCTTAGAAGAAAATGGGAAAAACTTCATAACATTGGATTTGGCAATGATTTTTTTGGAACATGAGCAAAATGCACAGGCAACAAAGGTAAAAATAGACCAAGTGGATTACATCAAAATTAAAAACTGCATGAGAGATATAACAGAGTGAAAAGACAATCTAAGGAACAAGATAAAACATTTTCCAATTTCCCCAATATATAAAGGTTAGTATTTATAATATATAACGAACTACAACCCAACAACAAAAACTAAACAACCCTACCGAAAAAAGGGCAAAGGACTTGAATAGACATTTCTACAAAGAAAATATGAAGAGTTACTAAACACATGAAAATATGCTTAACATAATCATTAGGAAATGCAAATTAAAATCACAATGAGATACCTCACATCTACTAAGAAGGCAACTATGAAAAAAACCTAAAACCAAAACCAACACAGGAAAATAAAACAAAAATAATCGGCATTGGTGAGCACGTAGGGACTACTGATGGGAACTAATGATGGAAATGTGAAATGGACAATATCAAGGCTCCTCAAAAATTTAAAAATAGAATTACCACATTTCAATAACACCACTTCTGGGTACATACCCAGAAGAACTGAAACCAGTATTGCCAAGAAGTATCTATAAATCCATGTTCACAGCAGCATTAGTCATAACCACCAAGAGGAAGCAACACATGCATCCCATTGATTCATGAATAGATGGGGAAAAAGTAAATGGACTAACTATTCAACCTTGAAAAGGAAGGATATTCTGACATGCTACAATATGGATGAATCTTAAAGACATTATGCTAAGTAAAATAAATAAATCTCAAAGAAATACCTTATATGAAGTACCCAATCAAATTCAGAGACAAAAAGAATGTGTCTGGGGGCTGGGAAAGGGAAGAATGGGGAATTGTTTAATTGGCAGTTTTGTAAGATGAAAAAAATTCTGGAGATTGGTCGCAAAACAATGGACTCCTGCCCTAAAAGGGCATTTGGATCAAGACACCCTGCTGAACAGTACACTTAAAAAAGGGAGGGCTGGGGATATAGCTCAGTAGTAAAGCGTTTGCCTAGCATGTGATACTGTGAATACATTGCTTTTGGTTCAAAGCTAGAAATTTAAATATTGGCACCAAATAAAAACAAATTATGTAAGCTTTTAAAATAAATAGGGATGATCCCCTTATCCATATTAGTTCAAATTAATAACAAAAGCTACTACTTAGTGGATACCTCCTATATGTCATGTATTTTATAAGCATTAAACAGGCTTATTAAAGTGTTGAACTCTTCTTAGGAGAGAAGTGGCAGAGACAGAATTTATTTATTTATTTATTTTTAGAGAGAGAGAATTTTCAGCATTTATTTTCTAGCCTTTGGCGGACACAACATCTTTGTTTGTATGTGGCGCTGAGGATCGAACCCGGGCCGCACGCATGCCAGGTGAGCGCGCCACCGCTTGAGCCACATCCCCAGCCCCAGAATTTATTTTTTGTACCAAGAATTGAACTAAGGCGCACTTAACCACTGAGCCACATCCCCACCTTCTTTTATTTTGAGACAGGGCCTTACTAGGTTGCTTATAGCCTTGCTAAGTTGTTGAGGCTAGCTACAAACCTGCAATCTTCCTGACTAAATCACTTGAATTTTCATTTTAAAAATTATGGAACTTATGTTTCCCCAAGCTGTTGGATTACTGGCATGTACCATCACTCCTGGCCAGAATTTAAATCCAAGTGTGTGTGGTTCTAAAGCTCATGTTCATTTCCCAATACCATGGGGTTTGCCAAATATGCCTTTGTTGAGGTAATATGACTATGGTATTCCTTTAGCTTTAGTTTGATAAATTTCTAGAATTAAAAAAGGTAGGAGAGAAAAAAAAAACACCCTGAATCATTCCACTTGTAGCAGACAAAAAGCAACTATTATTTCTGAGGCCAATGTGAATAGATTTTAAAATTGAATGCAATTATATTATCATGGAAATTCATACCATCATGGAAGTATTGAATTAGATCATATATTTTTAATTTTAGTTAAAATCATGTGTGGCATGATGCCAAGCAACTTCCTAACCTCTATAATAGACCTTTCCATAATTTAAAATTAAGTACAATTTATGAAGGTTACATTTTGAAGTGTGTAGATTTTAACCCGTTAAGTCCCAAGTTTTTAATTCTATGAACATACAGGAACTTGTTTTCTCCCCCTGCAAGAGTGGACAGATTCTGGCCTAACAAGGATTCTTCCAAACTGGTGACAACTGCAATCTGAGTGTATATAAAAATAACATTTATTAATATAGGCTGTACAATATATTTAGTCAAACCAAAAAACACACACAACTTAAGTAGAATTGGTAAGATTCCATTCAGCCTGAAATTTATATTCCAGATAGAAATGGAAACTGCCTTTAGCTTAAAACACAATCGAAAAGCAAAGTGGTTTCTATTACATCTTGTGGGACAGTGGAGACCTGTGGAGAGCTGAAGTATTGTAGTTGATTTAATATTGTCAAGGCAGGGGCCAGCCCATAGCCCAGAACAGAAATTAGCCCTAGCGCTGGCTTCTTTACTATGAAGGCAATAGGGTATTGTTATAAAAGTTCAAACAAAATCCCAAAGTCCTAAAATCTTCCTGGAAGTGGCAGTGTACCATAGGTTTGCAGCACATACCAGTCTGGAAACTGCAATCACTTTGCTGTAGTCTTTTGAGCTTTCACAGCATTTTCTAAAATTTTCCTTTTCCATTCTTCATAATCCTGTGTCAGATCTTCATCTTTCTGAGATGTATGTGGGATCTCTACTACTTTTTCTATTTCTGTGAGAGAAAAGGTTAAAAACTAGCTTTAAAATTCCTATGTTTACATATGAAATAGAAAAAAAAAAAGCAAATTTGTTTAAAGTATTTATTTCAATTAATCAAGGTAATAAAATACAGAAATGGCATATCACTTTTTTCTACATTTACTCCAAGCATTCCAAGACATCTAATAGTAGTCAACATTTATCACTTTTTGTGTTTAATAGGCACTGAACTGAGCACTTTAAACAGTATCTCATCTAACCCTTATCACAATCCTATGAAGTGAGTTCTAATATTAATCACATTTTAAGGATTAGGAAATTGAGATTCACAGAAATTATGTGACTTTTTAAAAAATCACCCAGCTTGTAGGTAGTGTTAAAACAAATATGAGATAGCTGGATTTTCTATGTAAGCAAACTAGAACTTACCTTTTTGAAGCTAAGATTAAAAAAAAAAAAAAGCCTCAAAAACCAGCTAGGGACATCCCGGATATCTGATTATGCTCAAAGAGAAAAATGCTTAGCCATAGTCAATTAGGTGATTTCTCTACTTCCAGGTTCAGTCTATAAAATCTTACTGTTCATACTGCTTTTTGCAACCCTCTGAACTTCTTTCGGATTTGACTGTTGTCCAATTCATGAGGTTCTTTGTTCAAAAAACTGCTAAATTTGTCAAAAGCTCTTAAGAGTAGGAAAGCAGGACTTGAACCTGGGCAGTTTGGCTTCAGACACATTCTTAATTACATAATGTTTCTGTTACTTCCACTGATTGCTTGGAAAACTGGTCGTGTCAAATGATTAATGGTCAGGATTTATACTCTTTGTCAGGGGAGCTGCTACAGCAGCACAGGACTGCAGTCTGCCTTAATCACACTGCATTAATTTCAATGTCATTATGGTGTTAGTAAGCCTTACCCTTCACTGGTGGTTCAACCACTATTTTCTTTTTCTTCTGGGGTGGACTAGATAAATATCCAGGTTCTCTATCTATATGGAAAGAAAAAAGTGTTATCAAGGTTACTTTTCCTCCTATTTTCAATTTTAGTATTTGGATGTATTTTGAATCACAAATAAAAATTAGATACTTCGATGAAAAAAAAAATAGCAGGATAAGGTGAAGGCAAGTGATCTTGCCCTTTTCTTGCTGTTCCTCTTATGAGATTTGAGAACCACTTGTATCCTAGCTTATGTATATGGCAGATGGTATTTTACATTACAGCATGTTAAAAAAAAAAAAATCAATTTTCCAGGTATAAATTCATGGAATCATAGGTTTTTTTTTTTGTTTTGTTTTACTTGAAAAATACAAAAATCAGTTTTCTCACTAAAAACATTATCTGGCCCACATTAAGTACAGAATTTAGAAAATAGCCAGTTTACAAGTTTAAAAATATCTTACTTTTACCAGCAAGTCCACATTTTCAAATGATACATTCTTGAATTACAGAATACTCACTGTCAATTTGCTGCCCAATCTTCTCTAATTGTTTACATAGTCGATCAAATATGGCTCTTTTTACACCAGATGTGGCTGCCATTTTGTTTTTATCCACTTTTAACTTTAGAATCCTATGAAAGAATTTCATAAATGCTTACATCAGGACCAGCACAGCTTTCTTCTTTGACCAACCAGATTATAATTTTTTTAAAACATTAATTTTTAGTTGTAGGTGGACACAATACCTTTATTTAAAAACAAATTTTTTTAGTTGTTTATGGACCTTATCTATCTATCTTTATTTTATTTTTTTATGTGGTGCTGAGGATCGAACCCAGTGCCTCACAGGTGCTAGGCGAGCGCTCTATCACTTGAGCCACAACCTCAGGCCCCCTTTTTAATTTATTTTTATGTGGTGCTGCGGATCGAACCAGTGCTTCACACATGCTAGGCAAGTCACAACCCCAGCCCTAGATTATAAATTTATTTCTTTTTGCCTATGCTTTATTAAAAAACCCAACTGTTTACAGTGTTTTACCTTTATTCTAAACATGTCATTAGCTAGCAACATGCAAATTTGCCTTTTTAAGCTCTTTGTTTATTAGATGAATAGAATTAAAATGCACATGTAATTTTGTGACAATTAGGTAACAATTTGATATATACATAGATAACCCATAATTTTAAGATGAATTGAAGAACAGTTAACATTAAAAAAAAAAAAAAGACTAGAAAATCACACATGACCACTGTTTTGACAGATTTCATCACTTATAAAAAGCAGACTCTGAAATTAGAATATCCATCTTACATATATGGCTGCCACTTGGCAAATGAGCTTCTGGCAGCCCTAGTTCCAACTTGTCAGCTACATTATGGGTACATTATGAGATAACTGAGAATCTGGTCACTTAGCCAATATTCCTAGTGTTATTTATAGGGGAAAATATGTTCTGAGTTAAAATCAACCAAAGTTAGAAGTATTCTTTGTGAATAAAAAACCCACTTAAAAATTTGAAAGCTTTTCTGAATGTTAATAGAAATACTTACTTGCATGCTGTAAGTAGTGCAGCAGTGGTGAAAAGTGGCCTGGATAAGTCAAGATCTACTTGTTGTGTCTGGGGAAGACTGGACTCGTAACTGGGGGAATAGTGTATTTGTAGAATTGTTAGGAAATAGTATTTCAAAAGGAACTGAAAATGCAAATCAGAACTTACAATATATTTTAAATATATGAGATAAACACTCTTTGATTTAGCATCTTAAGTTCTTTTTTTTAAGACTGAAAGTTAACCCGAATAGATCACTGTATGATTCTGCTTTATCTACAGCATGCACTTTCAGTTAAGGTTCTTTATGCCCATACCTTTGCAGTATCTTTGAAGCCATGTTCACTGCTTCTGTACAGCTAAATTGTACAGCTAGGTCTCTTATTCCAACATTTGAATTCAGGCCCAGTAAACACTCAAAAGATTTAAGACAGCTCTGATACATCTTCTTGTTCAAACCAGAAAGTTTAATTAAATAAGGCTTTGAAAGGAAAAACACAAATAATAAATTCTATGATTTAAACAATTCATAAGCAGCATAAACTTTTCAAAATTAATTCTGTGGCAAATCACTCTAATTAAAGGTTTAACTTCATTTAATAGAAAATCAGTAATCATGTCAAGCAGACTACTGCTGCTCTAAAGGATTACCTAGTCCTAGTCAGGAAGCTCTTAAAATAGAAAGGTAGTTATGCATATGCACAAATAATTAAAAACAACAACAACATGGGAACAAATATAAGGTTACTTGTTTTTCAACAAAGGTGCCCAGTGTACAAATGGTTGGGAAAAAGAACGAGGAAAGTGGTGAAAAGGATATGGGGAGGGTGCATGTAATGGAGGAAGGAAAGGGAGAAGAGAAGGAAACCAGGAGAGAAAAAAACAGGACAATCAATAACTACGGGAAACAACTCTGAGAGAATTAAGGAGAGCTTCATAAAGAATATAACAGCAGGGGCTGGGATTGTGGCTTAGAGCTAGAGCACTCGCCTAGGCACGCTAGAGTCCCTGGGTTCGATCCTCAGCACCACATGAAATAAAATAAAATAAAGATATGTGTCCACATATCTTTTTTACAAGTAAAAAATAAATAAATATATATAACAACAAGGTGGGGTCATGTCATGTAAGACAAATAGGAGCTTTCCAGAAGAGCACTCCAGGAAATAAAGGTGCATTTTCAAAGCCAAAAGTTATTAAAGTGAACAAGTCTATTAAGTGAATAGTGTAGCTTGAGGTCAGGGCTCAAGAGAGTCTAACCTCAAGCTACAAACAGCTTTGTTTTTAACATTTACACCATTTAATGATTGTATCCACCATGACACACATATTGCTAATGGTGTTACATACAGTAATATTGTTTAATCATAATAATAACAACCCAGTGAAATGAACATTTTTATCTCTATGGTTGAAGATTCTGGTGGCTCACAGAGCTAGTGAATGGTGTTAAGATTTGATCTCAACATTGTTGACTCTTCCGACGCCAAAGCTGCTTCTCTTAATCACTGTGACAGTGGGGGATGGGGATCAGAGATTCAAAATATGTGCTTCAGGAGATCAAGCTAACAACCCCTTGGGAGATGGCTTCTATGAATAAAGAGGTGGTTAGGGAAATAAAGAGTAAAGAGAAAACATTGCAAAAAATATTTTTTTGCCAACTTGACAAAATGAGTCTAAAGTTTTATCTAGAATAACATATAATAATAACCAAAATTCTAAAACATGAAAAGTTTTTAACTGGGTCTAATCTAACAAAAAGTAAAATATAACAGCTAAGCTCTAGTGTTGTGCTAGGTTATTCAGACATTTGATGGGACCTACTTACCCTGTCCAAGGGGCATTTCATCCAGGAAGCAGCAAGGTCCAGGCACATGACTGCATTGCTGGTTTCTGTGATATGTGCAGATAAACCAATGCACTTCACCTGGGACAGTCTCAAGTACTCCTCTGCTTTTCTATAAAGGCAATATGCAAATCAAAAATCTTTTTCAGGCCAGGAGTAGTGGCACACACCTACCTATAATCCTAGGCTGAGGCAGGAGGCTGGCAAGTTCAAAGCCAGCTTCAGCAACTTAGCAAGGACCTAAGCAACTTGAGAGCCTGTCTCAAAAAGGGCTGGGGATGTGGTTTAGTGGTAAAGCACTCAATCCTGGTACCCAAACCAAAACCAAACAAAAAAACCAAACAAAAAAAGGGGCTGGGGTTGTAGCTCATTGGTACAAAGCTTGTCTAGCATGTGTGAGGTGCTGGGACTGATCTTCAGCACCACATAAAAATAAATAAAATAGTGGTATTAAAGGAAAAAACCCTATTTTCAGAAGTTTGTCTGACAATTATGTAAACAATGAATACAGCTGGATGGACTTCATCCTGAGCCTAACTACTATGCAAGTTTATTTGGGGTTGAGAATGAAGTTCACATTCTGTGCTGAGGGGAAGTTTTAAAGGACAGTAGCAAAACCTTGATTCCCAACATCACTTTCCAAGTGCTTTCAGGTAAAAGTGTATTTCTCAAAAAAAAAAAAAAAAAAAAAAAAACAACCAAAAACAACAACAACAACAAAAAACCCAACCTTTCTTTCCTCCATCCATTATGGGAACAAACAAGAACAATCAGAGGTGGGCAGGTTGGATCAGGGTCCCTCCTTTATTTCCCCTTCCTTTAAATTCTTGGCTTTCAAACTTTACAGGACAATCACCCTGGGGCTTATGACAACAGATTTTGGGTCCCATTGGCCAGTTTGGTCAGTAGGTGTGGAGTGGGGTTCAAGAATTTGTATTTCTAAAGACTGCCAAAATGATAATGCTGCTGCGGGTCCAGGGACCACACTTAAAAAGAACCGCTGTTCTAAACGATTACCTAGTCCTATATTATTTTATTTTTTTTTACTTGTTGATAGACCTTTATTTTATTTATTTATATGGGGTGCTGAGAATGGAACCCAGTGCGTCACACATGCCTGGCAAGTGCGCTACCGGAGAGCGACAGCCACAGTCCCTAAATTAAATTTTTTTAAGGAGTGCTCTTTTGCTTCTCCCTCCCGGGCTTAACCTTTGGCTGCAAAGGTGTTTTTGAACCTCGGACCTGCAATGTTCCTTCTGATCTCTAGGATTTTGCAACAGTTGCCTGCTTGAGCTGCTCTTGCCACATCTTCCCATGTCTGGACCTCACATCAATTGCGTCTTTGAGCAAAAGGCACCTCCTCCAGGGCCTTTCCTGAATTATTATTAAAGGTGGCTGACAGGCCACGCCCTGCCCCACAATCGCTCGGGCACACTATCCTGCAGTGTTCTACGTGGTTTTTGCCACTGGCAGACCGTGATCCCCAGAGGGTCCGTACCGTGTTTGGGTCACTAAGTTAAATAAACCCTCAATAAAATTCTACAGAATGACTCGAAGAAATCCCTGACACGTTCCTTTTCCTACCCCCGTGCATCCCACAAAGCTGGATGTTCCTAAGGACGTCTACAACTGACCCTTTTTATCATTTCATACAAGTCCACGGTAGTGAACCTTTTCTTGAAGAAGGGCCTAAGTCTCATCCACCTTCTGCGCTCCATTCCCACACCGCCCGTGCTGTAAAAGGGCGCGGGCCAAAACTAATGGCTCAGGATCGTGAGACAGTGATCTCTCCCGGTGAGTGAGCGGCCGGACTCACCTCAGCACTTCAGGTTTAGTGAGGCCCAGGCGCGGGGCTAAGCGCCCAATCAACCCCGACTCCATGGCGCTAGCCTGCACTACACGCGCGAACAGCTGTGGACGACGAAACCCGCGCGCAGACGCAGCGCCAGCCAGTGAGAGTCAGGACCCCACCCCCGGCACATCTGGATTGGCTGGAACAAGTTGAGAACGCCCCACAAACCAATCCTGGTCCTTCTTCTGCGCAGGTGCAACACGAGTGTGCTGATCTAGGCGGATACAGTGAATGTGGGCAGGCGGCTCCCCCTCCTTCTACTCCTTCCTTCCTAACAAACTCGTTGAACCCGCCTTTCCTTCCTGCTGTCTCCTGCCTGCCGCTAAGCAACACCCGCTGCCCTGCACCGCACCGCCCCCTCTCACACACTATGGAGAGACTGGCTGGCGCCCAGGTCCATCAGTCTAGCGTGAATTGGCAAGGGCCAATAAACACGCGAGACTTGGGTTCCCAGAAGCGGGCCAATCGAGGAACCTCCTGCAGGGCCCGAAGGCGGGGCTAAAGAGGGCGGAGCTTGGAGGGGCCGCAGCGTCACCTGATCGCGGGAGGCTCCGCTTGGGGTAGGTGCTGCTTGCTGCAGGCTCGGGGGAGTCGCCATGGTGAGTGCTGAGGGGAAGGCAGACCCAGGGCAGACCCTTTTTGTAGCCTCTGCTTTCTCCTGCCGATCGGGAGCCCTGCGGGCGGAATAGGGGCCCAGCAGTTCGACTGGGGCTAAGACCAGCCCGGCTTGGCCTGCCGGATAGGGGACAGGCCGAGGAAGGCCGCAAGCAGTCTGCTATGGGCCGGGGTGGGCGGTGGCCCCTGGCTGCGGCCGTTGCTCTGAGAGTAGGCGACTTCTCTGAGGGGGTGTCTCGACCTGTAGATTTTGTGGGTCTGTGAATACCTGCGGCTTCTGCTTAAGTGGAATCGGCCACCTCCCTTCCAAGAGGGGAGCCCGAGTCCCAGGTCTAAGCTACCAACCGGGTTGGGGGCTTGGAGAGCGCCAGAGCCTATGGTGTAGCTCTGGGACCCGCCCAGATGGTGCATTTCCACCTTTGTGCTTAGCTGTGTTCAGCCATCCCCACACCCTTTTCTCTGCAAAAAAATAGCTTTCAGAGGGGCCGCGTTGGTTTCCCGGCCTTTCTTGGCCTCATAGACCCCTTGCGCTGCCGTGCTTGTCAGTGAATTCTAGGGACCTGTTTCCTAGAAGGACTCATGTTATCTTCCACTAATCCTGGCAGTTAGAAAGGAGACTGCTTTTTCATTTGTTCATTTGAACACCCTGGCTTGGTTGTCTTCCCTTTGATGAAATCCAAGTATTTTTCTTGTTGGAAGTAGTCATTTTCTTTAAGCCTCTCTGTGATGGTAGCAAATCGTGGTGTGGCATTGGCCGATAAGCTTGAACTTCCTCAAAATATGAATCCTGGGTGTAGTTTCCACAAAGGCAAGTTGTCACTTGCATTTTATTAGCGTTTGGTGTGTGTATTGTATAAACGATTCTTTTGGATGTTGATGTTTTGTAGTCAGTTTTAATTATCTCATTATTCACTCTTTGTAGACAGGTTTCTGTAAACCTCGACACAGATTTCACTTTTAAATGTCATTTAATAAGAGAAATCAGGATTAAATTTTTGACAATACTACTTTCATATAATGTATTGACTTACAAAGTGATTTTTATTTCTCAGAATTTCTACAACTGGGAAATGATACATAATTAATGTAAACTTTTAATTTTAGGATGTCTGTTTCTTGATGTTTGTGGATTGATATTTTAGTGCTTTGTAATGAAAAGCACTTAATTGAGGATCTTCTTATTGTGCACGTCATTTCTGTCCTGGGCCAACAAGGTTTGAGCAGTTAGCCAGACACAGTCCAGTCCTCATAAATTAAATTGAAAAAGGAAGCCTAGGTATTGGTCTTCTCACAGTCACTGTGTGTGACCTGGGGAAGTACTCAGGCTTTGAGCAAGTACTTTGGGCAAATATCAGTCATTTTTGCATCTGAAAATAAATGTTGGTTTCTTTGTCCCTTCCCAGACCTTAAATATCTAGACTCCAGTTCAATTAATTGAACATCTTGTGTGCTTTCAGTGTCATAGATTGTGCTAGGTATTGGATATAAACTAGTGGAGGAGACATGCTTATGGAACTTACTGTAATGCAGTGGGAGGGTTGCTTCACAACACTGTCAACTCCAAGTTTTAAGGAGAGTTTTACCCAGAGACCTTGGGAAAGACTACAGGAAGTAGTAACACGTGAATATCTGAGGAGGATGGCCGGAAATTCTCCACACCATGAAGAAAGGATATTGCAAATAGGTGAAGCCAGGAGAATAGAATGTTCTTGGTGTACTCCATCCTAGGTTTCTTGGGCGAATGAATTGGTAAATTAACATCAGTTTGACATTAAAATTATGGGCCTTTTGTTTGTGGGTCTTTGGGGGGGGGGCAGGGCTGGTAGTTGAGCCCGTCCCCACTCCTGTTCTGGCATGCTCTGCAAGCACTTTACAACAAAGCTACATTCCCAGCTCAAATTATATTTTAAAGTGCTCATCACCTCATTATCCTTAATTCTTATTGAAAATTGTTAATTTGTGTTATATCATCATTATAAAAATAGCACTTTTATTAACATGATAGTATTCTGTGTCTTTTTTAGGATTAGTTTTCATTTTGCAATTGATTTGCTTTGTATTGTCAGCTTACATCTCAGCCTGTGAGTGGGAAAATTAACAAGTAGGTTGCTACAAGGTGTGGAGGTAATTGCATCTAAATAATTATTGTATCACAGTTTAAGTGATTACTACGTGCTATGCACATTTTATTTGTGTCATTTACTTCCCAAAATATTGATGAAAATCTCTTCATTTTTATGAAAGAGTAAATTAAAAGTACATTGTTTTAAATGGAGAGTGGTTTTGTAGACTTGAGGGCTGTTTGTGGGTCTAAAGGCAAAATGGGCCTTATCACAAATGTTAATTGGATTTTGAATCTATAATGTATCCATTTTTCTCTGATCCATGAGCTGTAAAATGCACAGATATTTGCAAATGGAAAACCACTTTCATGAATGAGGAGACATTGGTTGGTTCCTTGGCTTGTGTTTAATCATAGGATGTTTGTGATATAACTGTCCCTGCTTTGTGTGACACTTCCTAGAAAGGGCATTAAGAATAGCCCTTAGAATAGCCATTTGTAGCACAACTACACTGATAAAATGTGAAAATATATTTCTTTACTATAGCTTTTTAAAAATTTGTAGCCTACTTTGTAACAAGTTGTCTTTGGTAATGTTTTACATTTATATTTACTTTTTCTATTAACTTTAAGCTTAGCTGATACAAAATAGAAGAATTTTGCTAAAATAGTATTCATTTGTTTATAGGTCCACAGAATTTAGTCATTCTATTCAAATTTTAAGGAACTATTTTATATGCTTTGTAATAAAAATTATTATGCACAGTAGCCAAAAGATGGAAGTAACTCACATTTTTATAGATGGATAAGTGAATAAATAAATGTGGTATGTATATACAGTGGAATAGGCAACCTAAAAAAGGAGGAAAATTCTGATACATAGTACAAATAGATGAACCTTGAATACATCATGCTAAGTGAAATAAACCAGACAAAAAAGAAAAATGTTGTATGATTCCATTTATATGGGGTATCTAGAGTACTTAAAACACAAAGTACAATTGCCTGGCAGGGAACCTGGGGTGTGGTATGGTGCTGTGTGGTGTGGTAATGGTGTTGCTGTTGCTCTTGCTGTTTAATAGATACAGTTTCCATTTGAAAAGATGAAAAAGTTCTGGAGAAAGAAAGTGGTACTGTACAATATTGTAAATGTATTTAATGCCACAAAACTGTACACTTAAAAGTGATTATAATGGTAAATTTAAATACATCTTACCTCAATAAAAACAAATGTTATAAAAATATCCTGATGCATTGCTACTTATTTCTAAATTGACCATTTGACCTTAATGTAGTCTATTGATTCTAATTATTAAATCTATTCTACCTAGAGTTAATATACCCCAAAAAATCCACAATAGGTTGGTTTACTGAAGTTCTTAGAGGACTAGCCCTTGAATAATAGTAAATTTCTTTAGGTTAAAATCCTTAAATGCTGGTGTTCTCCTTAACTCTGAAACCAAATTTTATACTTACAGTTCTGCTGTATAAATTAACGATCTTTTAAAGTGAGGATTAAAAGGATTTAAACTTTTTCTTTGAAATTTATTTATGCATCTGAGGTAGACTGCAGAGGAATTCAGTTCATTGGAGTTTGTCATAATTAAAGGAGATACAGGGCTTTGCTGCTTACTTAATTTTTTTTCCTCTTCCCAAAATTAAACCACCAAGAGAAAGTTCAATATTTTTTAAAATAAATGATTATAGTTCCGAAATGGGTTTTATATGGCTCGTGTTTCACTAATCTCAAAATGAAGTGTTTTTTCGATAGTCTTGGATATGAAACAGACCAGATTTTACTTTCACATTTATGCAAATGTCTTTGCTTTCTACCTTTTTAAACTTATTATGTAAGAGACTTCTTGTTTTTTAAAATTGGAGAGAAATTGACAAAATTAACCATATTAAAATGAGTAGTTCAGTGGCATTTTCATAAATTTGAAATACTGTATAGCTACCACCGCTACTTCATTCTAAAACATTTCATCATTTCAAAAATGGAACTCATAAAATACTGATTTCTGGGCTGGGGCTATAGCTCAGTGGCAGAGTGCTTGCCTAGCATGCATGAGACACTGGGTTCTATCCTCAGCACCACATTTAAAAAACAAAAACACAAAACAAAGTAAATGCATTCTGTCCACCTACAACTACAAAAAAAAAAAAAAAAAGTGATTTCCCCCACCCTCCCTGCTGATAACCACCTTTCTGTTTCTATGGATAATTTATCTGTTCAGGATATTTCATATAAATGGACTCAGACAATATGTGACTCTTAGTGTATGTCTTCTTTATTTAGTGTAATGTTTTCTAGCAAATGAATTTCCTATATAAATTTTTTTTTTTTTTTTTTAATACTAGGGATTGAACCCAGGGGCACTTTACCACTGAGCTGTATCCCCAGACTTATTTATTTATTTGTTTTTTATTTTGAGACTGGTTCTCACTAAGTTGGATAGGGCCTTGCTAATTTGCCATGAGGCCGGCCTCAAACTTGTGATCCTCCTGCCTCAGCGTACCGAGTTGCTGGACATGTGCCACTGTGCCAGGCAACTTCATTCCTTTATATGATTAAATAATAATTTCATTGTATATATTGTAAACTACAATTTGTTTATCCATTCACCTGTTGATTATTTAGTAATTTATATTAAATACACAATCTAAATGTTTTAAAACCAGCTTTTCATGAAGTCAACATTTATAAAGCATGCATATGTATGTTGAATCCCAAGTGTATGAAAGTGATCATCATTTATAATTGTAACCTGATGGATGTTGTGGTACAGATGTAAACACAGTGTTTATATAACATGAGGGAATGGTTAATTCTACTTGATAGGAAGAATTAATTCATGTTTTAGGCAGCCTTTTGACTAGATAGCAGAGTAGATATAGTTTGTCCATTATAGCTATTGACCTATATATTTGAAATGACATAAGCTGGCTATTTGAGGAAAATACTCTTTTCATTTCCTACTATAAGTTGCTAACAACAATTTCAGTTATTATATTTCTAAGCTCTGTAGTTCCTTGTTAATATATATATATATATTGCCTAATGTGATGGGGTGTCAGTGTTCTTATAAAGTAGTTGATCTAAATGCAGATGAAAAGTAGCCTAAAGGGAGAGTGTTTTAGAAAGTTATAAGACTTTATCTATCACAAGTATTAGATTGGTTGGATGGCTGTTTTCTAATTGGATTCAGAGCGTATTAGCAGAATATAGCAAGAAATTACCATAAATTTCTTTGAGGCCAACATGTTTTTTCAGTAGTTGTCAAAAATTGATAAATTAGTTTAAGATGTAGAACTGGAATTTAATGTTAAAGTGTTGGAGATAGGCTAAGATTCAAACTATAGAAATAAAAAATTTGCTAGAAGAAAATTATTATGAAATATTAATAAAAGTTTTTATTTTTTTTAAATTTCAGCCTACAACACAGCAGTCACCTCAAGATGAGCAGGAGAAGCTCTTGGATGAAGCCATACAGGCTGTGAAGGTTCAGTCCTTCCAGATGAAGAGATGCCTGGTAAGAATGAAAATATGAAAGATATATGTAGACTGAAGGTTTCTCAGGAAACATCTACAGTGTTTTCTGAAAATTTGTAGTACCACTGCTTCTGGTAAATCTAATCTTCAGTGTTTACAAGCTTCCGTCTTCAGTTCTTCCTTTCTGAAGTATGTAGAGCAGTTTCAACAGAGAGCTCTGTTTATTCACAATTTTATATATGATTTGGGATTGTCTGTCTTCCCTACTAGAATGTAAGCCTTTTATTTATATATCACTATCATTACCACACTAAGATCTGACTTGAATTACTAGCTTCTTGGTTCTATACTTAACGTATAATGGGCGCTCAATAAATAATTTTTTGAATTAATGGATTTAAATTCTTTCAATTGTTTTCTCCTGGTTATATTGAAACTTTAATTTCCATCCTGAATAGATACAATTGGCAATTTATACTCTGTAATCATAATGTAAAAGCTAACATAAAATTACACTTTACACCTATTTATGTAATTTTCATATTCTAAAAGATAGGAGATAATCTGTATAGATAGTATAGCTCCTCTAGATTATTATTATCATTATTATTATTTGATACCAGGGTTTGAACCAGGGGCTCTTAACCACTAAGCCGCATCCTCTTTTTTATATTTTATTTTTATTTAGAGACAGGGTCTCACTGAGTTGCCTAGGGCCTCACTAAATTGCTGAGACTGGTTTTGAAATCATGATCCTCCCGCCTCAGCCTCCTGAGTTGCTGGGATTACAGGTGTGTGCCACCGTGCCTGGCTGGACTAAAAGTTAAGGAATTGAACCAAATAAGTACCATTGTACCACAAGCCATAAATTGTGGTGGTGGTGATACTGTCTTACCTTTGGATAATGTCTCACAATTTCTAAATGGTAAGAATGAAAATATGAAAGATATATGTAGACTGCAGGTTTATGCATTAGAATTATGCTTTAGAATGCTTTCTAATGCTCTTATATTTTACTGATTTTTGGGTTATTTGGAAAGAAAAATAAATTTCATGGAATGGAGAAAATAGGTTTGTTATTGCTTGCTTCTTTTTGTGTATACACTGTTTCTTGTATTTCAAGGAATTGTCTGTTTGAGTTAAGTGGGCACTGTGAGGGTTTGAAGGATACAGGAGGAAATCATGCTTACATGGTAGTCATTCTATACAGCTCTGAAGAGTATATATATTAGTTGTAATATGTATATATATTAGTTATAATATGTATATATATTAGTTGTTAATGAACCTTTATTTATTCACTTATTTATATGTGGTGCTAAGAATTGAACCCCAGCCTCACATATGCTAAGCAAGCACTCTACCACTGAGCCACAACCCTAGCCCCTAATGTTAATTTTTATGTGGTTAAAATTATTTCAAGAGCTTTAACAATTATGTAACAAATCCTTATTGTAAAGGATTGATATAACTAAGATAAATGTTTATTTAAATGAAGCATTCTCATCAATCCTTTTGGTATTTCTATAGGACAAAAACAAGCTTATGGATGCTTTGAAACATGCTTCTAATATGCTTGGTGAACTCCGGACTTCTATGTTATCACCAAAGAGCTACTATGAACTTTGTATCTTTTTAATGTTGAAGAATGAACATTTGTACCATACTTATTTCTTGAAAAGGCCAATTTTGTTTGTTCTTTATTAAACTTTTCTGGAGTCATATTATTCTTCATTGTCTTAACTTAAATGGCTGAATAAGGAAAAAGGAAAACTTTCTTTCTTAATACTCTTTGTTTAGTTTATTTCCAGTACTAAGGATTGAACCCAGGACCACATGTGTGCTAAGCAAGTGCTCTACCACTGAGCTAAACCTCCAGCCCTGTGCTTAAACTTCTTTAAATGGTTTGTTACTGTATCTCAATTTCCAGGCCTTTCTTGAAGGATATTGAAGTTATTAGGTAGTTGGTTCTTAATGCTTAGATTTTATCATATAGGACTCTGAAATGGAAAGGAATTCAGTCATTTGACATTTTAAAACCCTCATCAGACTGACCAGGTGACCATTGTGTATTTACTGTTTTGTTTCACCAGATATCCTTTAAAATCTTTTTTTTTTTTTTTTTTTTTTTTTTGAGTAGAAGTCTGGCAATATTTCCCAGGCTGATTTTGAACTGGTCTTAAACTTCTGGACTCAAATAATCCTCCCACTTCATCTGTCATACCTGGCTGAAAATTTTTTTTTAGTTGATGGACCTTTATTTTATTCATTTATTTATATGCAGTGCTGGAAATTGAACCCAGTGCCTCACACATGCTAGGCAAGCATTCTACCACTGAGCCACAACCCCAGCCCCAAAATCTTCATTTTAAAGTACGGAAAATATAACTGAAATTCTATTTTCTGTTTAAACACTCTTTTCTTTACAGGCCTAAATTTAAGATAGTTATTAATAGTTATTAATGAGTCCAACAAGTTACAGAGTTGTTTAGGATGGCTTGTCTTTATTTTTAATCCTTAATCATGATTAAAAGATATGGCTATTTCTGATGAACTGCATTATTTGGAAGTCTACCTAACAGATGAATTTGCTAAAGGAAGAAAAGTGGCAGATCTTTATGAGCTTGTACAGTATGCTGGGAACATTATCCCAAGACTGTAAGTAATTAGAATTGGAGGCTTTTTACATATATATTTCCCACTTTATGTTATATCCTTTCTTTGAAAAACCAATTTTATGAATATTTAATTTCTTAACAAATTGAGATTAACATTTTGGTATGTATTTTGTTATCTAAGTTTTAGAGTAGATTTACTTTTTAAATAGATGTTTAAGAATTTTAGAAATAGAAAAAAATAGATGTTGTTTTTTATAAAGTTTTGACTATTAAAAAAATTGATATGGCAATTATTTTCTTGCTAATATGTTTAAATAAATGCACATGCACACTCATACACACACACAGACACATGCATATAGATAGTAGTCACCCTCCACTTTATCCATGATTTTAGCTACCCACTATTAACCAGGGTCCAAAAATATTAAATGGAAAATAGTAGAAATAACTGTTTCATATTGTGTAATGTTCAGAGTAGTGTGTTGAAATCTTACATTGTCCCATTCTTTTGTCCAGCATATCAACACTATTTATGCTATCTATTTGTTAGTCACTTGTTAATTGTCTCGTTATCAGATCAACTGTCATGTTATGTCAGTGCTGTGTTCAGGTAACCCTTATGTAGTAGTCTAATACCAACTCACATTGCCTATTTTAGTCACCTTACTTCACCTCATCATGTAGGCATATTACCATCTCACATCATAACAAGAAGGATGAGTACACTATTATAAGACATGAGAGAGAGAGACCACATATCTTTTATTACATATATTGTTATGAATGTTATATTTTATTAGTTGTTAATCTCTAATTTATAAATTAAACTTTATCCTAAGTATATATTATAGGAAAAAAACATACTATCAGTTGCAGTTTCAGGAATTGACTGGGGATCTTGGAACATATCCTTCAGAGGGGACTGCTATATATATGTTTTAATATATCGGTCAGTGGATTATTTTATTTTTTGTATTTTAATCAGTTATATTTTAAATCAGATGGCATTAATAATGCAGGAGAAAGCAACATGATTTCTGTTTTAATGTTTATGTACAGTATTTTGGGCATAATAAAGTGTTTGATTTGAATATTGTATTTCTAATAGATGTCTTTTTATAATTCTTCTAGTTATCTGTTGATCACAGTTGGAGTTGTATATGTCAAATCATTTCCTCAGTCTAGGAAAGATATTTTGAAAGATTTGGTAGAAATGTGCCGTGGTGTGCAGCATCCATTAAGGGGTTTATTTCTTCGAAATTATCTTCTTCAGTGTACCAGAAACATTTTACCTGATGAAGGAGAGCCAACAGAGTAAGTAATTTCTCTCTCAGTTTAGTTGTAATGTTTTTTCATTATAGAATATTTAAAAACTATAGAAAAGTATTCAGAAATAAGAAAATAAATATTTTTCCTACCCACTGTCATTCGCGTTTTTTGTATAGATTTTCATTGTCATATAGAACTCCTTAGTATATATGGTGTATATATATGTATACATGTATACATATATATACACACACACACTAAGGCATTTTATATATATATATATATATACACACACAAACAGGTTAATATTTTGCTTATCACTTTATGTGCAAATTATGTGTGTATCTATTTTTTCATTTAACATAATTTTTTCTATTAAGTGTTCTTTGAAAGTATGACTTTTAAAATTAGTTACATTTTAAAAATTATATTTGTGATAAAATAATTAGGTGTGCTTAGCTTTTCCCATGAGCTAGTCAGCATTTATAATTGTTTCTTGAATGCCTTTTAGTTTTTGTAATTTATAAGCTGCTAATTACTCTAAGTGATTTTAATCATTTTTGCACACAGATAGTAATTCCCTCCTCAAATCCCCCCCCAAAAGAAAAGCCATTCAAAGAGGCCCCTATCTATGGTTCATGTAACCAGTATTCTAGAGTCCAAGTCCATTTGTACTTTTTACCTATAGCAACATCAGATGGTCAGCTAGCTGTGATCTTCAAACAACTGGGTGAACTCTTCATGTCACAGGTCCCTAGATTGAAGAATTTAATTTCTTTTTTTTAAAAAATTTATGTTTTTAATGACTTTAATACTAAGGTAAACAAATCAATGATGTTTAATATCACTTTCAATTTATTTTTAAGAGAAAAAAATTTTTTTTTACCACGTATGTAATGAAAAAGTACTGAAAAGATAAAAATTTGAATATAGAAAATATGATGAAGTTATTTGCTCTATTACACTTTGACTCTCAGTTTTGAGCATGTAATTAGGCAATCAATAAAAAAAACATGGAAAACTGCTGAGTTCCCCATCCTAGGAAATATAAATTAGGAAATGCATAAATGTAAGCTCTCCTTTCTCACGAAGTTTACATTGCAATAAAAAAAATTCAACAATTAAATGATGTAGTTAATAGTACATATAAGTGTTGGATTTTTTATATTTTTGAATTAAGGGAATTGCCATAAGAGCAAGCCCATGTAGCTCAGGATAGGGAGTTGGGGAAAGTAATTTGTCTCTTGAAAATTGTATTATGTCCTTTGCATTGTATTATTTCCCTGAGGCGGTTCTCTTAAAATTTAACACTAAGCGAATGAAGTTGTGTTTTTTAAAATAAAGCACTAGTGTATTACAGAGATAGGAAAGAAATGAACAAAGGAGAGGGATAGTAGTCGCATAATTTAAATCCAGTATAAAGACTTTTTTCCAACTGTTTTTTTGCAGTGAAGAAACAACAGGTGATATCAGTGATTCTATGGATTTTGTACTACTCAACTTTGCAGAAATGAACAAGCTCTGGGTGCGAATGCAGCATCAGGGACATAGCCGAGATAGAGAAAAAAGAGAACGAGAAAGACAAGAACTGAGAATTTTAGTGGGAACAAATTTAGTGCGCCTCAGCCAGTTGGAAGGTGTAAATGTGGAACGTTACAAACAGGTTAATATTTTGCTTGTCACTTCATGTCGTGAGATGTAAATTGAAATCTAATTTTTAAAATAAAAACATTTTTGTTGAATAATATGACATTGGAAAACATTTTTAAGTGACTTTTTATCAAAGAAGACCTAAATAAACTGAAAGATAAAAAACAGTTTTTGTGGATTGGAAGGCTCAATATTGTCAAGATAGCAGTTTTCCTTAAATTGATCTAAGATTTAATGTAACCTCAATAAAGATCCCAGTAAGTTTTCTTGTAGAAATCAATAGACTGATTCTAAAATTTATATGAAAAAGCAAAGAACCTTCAATAGCCATGGCAATTTTGAAAGAGAACAAAAGTTGGAGTGCTTGGACAACCCGAGTTTATAATTTACAATAAAATGAAGATAGTGTGGTGTTAGTAAAAGAGATAAATAAATAAATCACTGGAGGTGAATAAAGCAGAGATCAGCAAACTTTTCCTATAAAAGAACAGACAGTGAATATATTTTGTCTTCGTAACAACTCTTATAGTATCAACTAATAAACTCAGCAGGTATAGTGCAAAAGCAGTCACAAAAAATGCAGAAGTAAAGAGATATGGCTGTTTCAGTAAAACTTAATTTGCAAAGATAGGCAATTGCTGATCTCTGGATTAGATAATTTGTTATAGACTCACACATATGTGATCAATTTTTTTTTTTTTCAATTCTGGGGATTGAACCCAGGTCCTATCATGTATGCTAGGCAAGTGCTTTACCACTGAGCTACATCCCAAGCTCAGTATTTTGGAGAAAGGTGTAAAGGCAGCCTTTTAAACAAATGTTTCAGCAACAATTGGATATTTATATCCAAACAACGAAAGTTAAATCTGACCAGTCCTTCATACCAAGTAGAAAAACTAAAAATGGATCAGAGACAAATATAAAATCTAAAACTATTAGGAAAGATGAAGGAAATCTTTATGACCTTGGATTATATATATTTCTCAGAATACATGATTCCATTTTATTATGAATTTTATACTAAATAGGAACCTAGAAATTTTTTATTGAAAACATCTGTAAAATTTTAAAACTTTATAATGAAATATGGGTGAGAACAATTTAATATATGATTTTCAAGTTAGTTTAGGGTGTTATTAGAGGGTTTGGAATTTGAAAGTGATCTTTTAACCCTTATATATTTTTTCCCCTCTTTTAGATTGTATTGACTGGTATATTAGAACAAGTTGTGAATTGTAGGGATGCTTTGGCTCAAGAATATCTCATGGAGTGTATTATTCAGGTAGGTGGGAAATTTATTTCGTGTTTAAAAGGACTCATTTTATCTTTGTTAATTTTCATTATTTTGAAAAAAAGCTTGGGCCAGGAATGGTGTTGTCATGCCTGTTGTTCAAGCTACTCAGGAGGCTGAGGCAGGAGGATCACTTAAGCCCAGGAGTTCAAAGCCAGCCTAGCCTGGGCAACATAGCGAGATTCTACCTCAGAAAGAAGAAAAATCTTAACTGAATAAAAAATCAACTTTCCTGAATAAAGAACTTTACTTTCTCCAAATAATAACTTGATCTTTGTGTTGATATTTTTTCCCCAAAAATGTGGGAAAGAGTGATCTCTTGAGTCTTCTAGGTCTCATTAGTTTTAGTTTAATTATAGGTGTATTTTGTTAGTGGAATATTTCTGTCTGGGATTATATGTAGAAAGGTTAAAAAATAATATATTTGAGTGTAGTTGTATAAGATTAAATTTATTTTTTTCATGAATAAGAACTTTAAATAGATGAGTTCTGAATATCCTGTGAAATAACTTTTATTGGTATCAGTCAACTATTATTTGATTTTCAGGTTTTTCCTGATGAATTCCACCTCCAGACTTTGAATCCTTTTCTTCGGGCTTGTGCTGAGTTACACCAAAATGTAAACGTGAAAAACATAATCATTGCTTTGATTGATAGGTAAGACCTTCCAACACTGGAGGGCAAATGCCCTGATTTAGGAATAATGAATTTAAAACATTTTCATAATTATTTGTCGCTGTCTTTTATATCAGTGATAAATAATTTAGTTGTGTGAGTATGCTTGAAAGAGGTTCAACTTTTAATTGTGTAGAGACATGGAGATAATAAGTATTTTTACTTCGTCCATTTAATTGACATGTAGACATTTTTGTACAGACCCATCATTTAAATCCTGAAAGTCCAAAGATATTGAAAAACAAAATTTGTTTCTCACCATGATGTAAGTTATTTTTCAGTGAGACCTGATTTGATTTAGAGTTTTCTTTATTAAGTAACCATAAGGCGTGTGTGTGTGTGTGTGTGTGTATTTGTTTTGCCATCCCTTTTTCTTAAATTTTTTTCTTTCTTTTTTTTTTTTTTTTTGTACTGGAGGTTTAACCCAGGGGTACTTTACCACTGAGCTACAGTCCTTTTTATTTTTCATTTTGAGACAGGGTCTTGCTAAGATACTGAGGCTACCCTTGAACTTGTGATCCTCCCCTTGAACTTGTGCTCCTCCTGTCTCAGTCTCCTGAGTCACTTGGGTTTATAGGTGTGCTCTCCTGCACCTAGAATGCCATTACTTTTTCTTAAAGAAGAAGTTTTAAGTATTACATATGTTTAGTAAATTCCCTTTAAATTTTATTTTATTAGCCATTGATTTTGGTTGGTGTGTTAAAAATATAAAACTTGACCTTTGAGGACTGGAAATGTAGCTCATTGGTAGAGTACTTGGCTAGCATAAGGCCCAGGATTTGATCCCAAGCACTGCCAAAAAACCCCCTCCCCAAACCCCAAAATCTTGGCCTTTGGTAATGGCGTTAGTGAATAAATGTTTGGTAACCAGGCTGTGGGTAGTACGTAATATATGTCCTACTTATGAGCATAATACATTGTCATGAAATCAGAAACCCAATTGAAGATTTATTTCTACAAATACCTTTTCTTATATTTTAAAATTATCTAATTATTAGTTTTAGAGTCTGAAAATTTATACAGGCGAATTCTCCAAATTATCAGCTCTATCCTGGGCAGCAAAAATTCCGTGTTTGTTGAGCCTGCTGTTAAAGGTAGCTAGTAAACTGGACTTTCCTGTGTAAGATGTAATGTCATTTAGCTATCCTGATTAGTACTGATTCTTCTCTGCATAACAAACTGAAAGCAATTGTGACCTTAGCAAACAGATAACGGAACATACGTGATTTTGAATATTTTAAGATTTGGGAAATAATAGTTAACTTTGTTACTTTCGGAATTAGTTATAAACATACAGTATCTTAAAATAGTCTATATTTATCTTTTAAAGATTAAGTCATGGTCATTAGATACATTTGTGACTTTAATGTATTTCTCTCCATGTCTACAATTAAAGACTTTAAAAAGTTTAGGAAAATCATCCTGTTGAAAATGTCTAATAAGGTAAAAAATAAGAAAGTTGATGAAAAGGCATTGTTGGCCAATCTTTTTAGTTCAGAATGAGTTGAGGGAATTATTGGTATTCATTGTCCTTTTCAAAAACTTCTTTTAATGTGCTAGAACAAATAGATTTGTACAAGACAGAAAAGCAATACAGAATAAAATGTCATTCATGATCCCACTTCTTATATTTTTTGAAATAAATGTTTTCCTTTTTAGATTAGCTTTATTTGCTCATCGGGAAGATGGACCTGGAATCCCAGCAGATATTAAACTTTTTGACATATTTTCACAGCAGGTGGCTACAGTGATACAGGTTTGTATAGCTTTTCTCCTAAGTTCTCAAAATTTTGAAACTTCTCTGCTGGCAGATCCTTTTGTAATTGTTTAAAATTAATTGTATGTTTTTCTAAACATTCCAGTCTAGACAAGACATGCCTTCGGAGGATGTTGTATCTTTACAAGTCTCTCTCATTAATCTTGCCATGAAATGTTACCCTGATCGGGTGGATTATGTTGATAAAGTTCTAGAAACAACAGTGGAGATATTTAATAAGCTCAACCTTGAACAGTAAGTCAAAGTTATATTTTTGTAAAAAACACATGTAAAACACCTTTTTTGTCCTAGATTTGTTTTTCTCCCTCAGAGGCTTTTTGAAATGTTAGCATTTGTTATGTTTTAAGCTTTTGTTAAAATTGTCATACTTGGTGCTAATCAGATCAGAAAGTTACCACCAGTTATTTAGTTTCGTCATTAATGAAATAGTGACACTCAAGGACCAAAGGCAGTCTTCAGAGAGCAGTGTCTCCGATTCAGATCCCTTTCTATAAATGAATAAGCTGATTTTTAAACTATAAGGAAATTTTACTCAAGGAATATTTCCATAAGAATTATTTTCTTACAGATGATTAATTTGTGAAAAAAATAGGATATGTATATTTAAGGTAAAAAATTAGGGGAAATATATAATATTATACTAAATGTCATATATATATACATAAATACATATAATGTTTAAGGTACAGAAATTAAATTGATTTAAATACTTTTAGTCTATTTTGAACTTTAATTTTCACACCTTTAGAGAAATTACTATACCGTTTTGTACTTGAAGCTACTTCAACCATGCTATCCTAGACCTGTAGCACCCTCTAGTGACTACTGTGGGCAGTTTTGATCTTATTATCTTTTCCAGCAGCTCCCTTATTGACTCATTCCCCCCTGCTTCTGAACTTGGGTCAATGGGTCAAGCAGTTTTTCTCTTTTGTATCTCCCTTCTGGTGGTTCAGCTGCATCAGGAAAGTTTCTTCTTTTTCCTTATTGTCTTTTTATGTGGGTGTGAACTGAAAAATAGTTCAGATCTTGAATGATGAGCATGAGAAAATTCAATGATGTATCTGTTTCTTTACCCACTAAATGAGTTTTAAAGTCAAAGTAGACAAAATAATTAGAAATCCCAAACTCTAAAGGTCTTATAAACGTCCAAATATATCTTAATCTCCACAGAATGATGCTACAAGCTAAATACAACTTGCCTTTACTTGATTACCAACATTTGGTGCAATTGTTTATATATGTTTATATATATTTTTTGTATTTTTCTATTCTTTTGAATTGCTGGTTTTGCATGGATTTTTTTCTTATTTTCATCATGAATATGCAATATTTATTGGTTGCTCTAGGAATCAAACTGCTGCTTAAAATACTTTACCTTAGAAATGTTGTCAAATTCTAGACACTCATCTTTCCAGCTATACAACCTGTTCATGAGTTGGAGACTATTATTTTATTTATTTACTTATTTATTTTGGTACTGGGGATTGAACTCGGGGCACTCGACCACTGAGCCGCATCCACAGCCCTATTTTGTGTTTTATTTAGAGACAGGGTCTCACTGAATTGCTTAGTGCCTTGCTTTTGCTGAGGCTGACTTTTAACTCCTGATCATCCTCCCTCAGCTCCTGAGCTGCTGGGATACCATCATGCCAGTTAGAGACTACTATATTTATCACCAGAACAATAATAGATAAATTGAGTGTGTGTGAATGAAGTCATTGGGGTATTTTGGGATAGTATGATTCACTTGACCCTCTTTTTTAAAGTGTAAATGAAATTTTAAAAATTTTTGTGAAGCAGGTACTACTTGTTTATAAAAGTTGATTTTATTCATTAAGTGTTACTGTTTTCTTTTTCTTTTTTTTTTTTTTTTAGTATTGCTACCAGTAGTGCAGTTTCAAAGGAACTCACCAGACTTTTGAAGATACCTGTTGATACTTACAACAATATTTTAACAGTCTTAAAATTAAAACATTTCCACCCACTTTTTGAGTACTTTGACTACGAGTCCAGAAAGAGCATGAGTTGTTATGTGCTTAGTAATGTTCTGGATTATAACACAGAAATTGTCTCTCAAGACCAAGTAAGTAAAAACCAACATGCTACTTTAGGGAAACAGGCAATATAGTTAAAATTTCAGACTTTCAGACCTAGACACATGAAATAGGGGAGGGTAATTTAATACTAACGGAAAGTTGCAAGTAGCTTTTTCAATATACAAATTAGAAAATTAGAGATAGATATATATAGAAGAATCAAACATCCATAATTCCAACAGAAAAAGAATAAGCATTGTTAATATTTGGTGCATCTCTTTCAGACTTTTGCCCATATACATATGTATGTGGGTTTTTTTTAATGGAATTATTTATTTTTATTTTTATTTTTTTTAACACAATGTATTTATTTTATTTATTTATGTGGTGCTGAGGATCGAACCCAGGGCCTCGTATGTGTGAGGCGAGCACTCTATTGCTGTGCCACAACCCCAGCCCCTAAAAATAGAATTATTTTGCTGATAATTTTTCATAACTTTATATACAACTGGAAATATTTAGACGATGGTTTCATATCTTGATGTTTTCACCCTAGTGGGTTTCTTGTGTCTCCCATGTTACAGGTGGATTCCATAATGAATTTGGTATCCACGTTGATTCAAGATCAACCAGACCAACCTATAGAAGACCCTGATCCAGAAGACTTTGCTGATGAGCAGAGCCTTGTGGGCCGATTTATTCATCTTCTGAGGTCTGAGGACCCTGATCAGCAGTACTTGGTATGACTTAACTCTTACTTCCTTTAGTTGGATATTCCATAAGTATTTCATATTCTTATTTTTTTTTAGAACTGTGTATTACTTTTAGAAGTGTTCAGTTGCAGCTGGGCACAGTGGTACATGCCTATAGTCCTAGTTACTTGGGAGGCTGAGGCAGGAGGATTGCAAGTTTGTGGCTAGCAAAGGCAACTTAGCAAAATACTGTCTCAAAATAAAAAATATAAGAGATAGGGGGATATAGCTTATTTTCTGGATTTGATCACTACTGAAATAAAAGAAAGGTTCAGTTGCTTATCACAATAAACCCCTAAGTATAAGAAACATAATCTTTATATTAAATTTTATTTATTTTTCCAAGGTTTGTAAACGTAAGTTGTATTTGTCACATTGAAAATATGTCAAAAACTTTAAAATTCAATTTTCTTCCTTAACCTTAATTGCCTAATAAAGAACAATTGGGGGCTGGGGTTGTGACGCAGATGGGCTGGGGTTGTGACTCAGAGGTAGAGCGCTTGCCTCGCACGTGCAAGGACCTGGGTTTAATCCTCAGCACCACATAAAAATAAATAAATAAAATGTATTGTGTCCAACTACAACTAAAAAATAAATATTTAAAAAAAAAGAACAATTGGATGAAGTTCTCTTTTTTTGAGGGAGGATACCAAGGATGGAACTCAGAGGCACTCAACCACTGAGCCATATCCCTAGCCCTATTTTGTATTTTATTTAGAGACAGGGTCTCATTGAGTTGCTCAGTGCCTCGCTTTTGCTAAGGCTGGCTTTGAACTCAAAATTCTCCTGTCTCAGCTTCCTGGAGCCACTGGGATTACAGGCGTGTGCCACTGCATCTAGTGGATGAAGTTCTCTTTTTTATCATTAGTTCTCAGTTAATCTTTGTGAAATAAATAAAGACATGTTGCCTTATTAGGGGTTTTGGCAACTGATACTGTGTAATTTATTTTAAAGAAAGGTAGTATGCATAACTGGGCAAAGTAGTTGAATGCACAAGGCTATAATGACAAGTACTTTTGTTTGAGGATAAGTTCTATTTTCTATTGACTTTGTCGTTGTTGACACTCTTGTACTCCTTTATAACTGATGTGAAAAAGAGACTGGTTTCTATTGGTAGTATGATAGTCTTTGATTTTGCTTAGTGTAAACATTCTGAGCATTGTGCTGTCATGTTCTGTGTACTATGTGATCTGTACAGTGACTGTCTGATTGTTGAAGTATTTTAAATGATTCCTTCATGTTTCTGTGTGAGATTGTGTGTCATTTTCTGTTACATACCAAATATCGAGGTTAGGAAGCATGCCTTCAACATTGACAGATGGTTATGCCTTTGTGCAGAGCCTTTAAGGATAGAATCATTAGTTTCAACTGTCCCAAAGGAGAATGCATTCACTTAACCATTTACCATATCAGAGACATTCACAAAGCCTGAATATATCACGTTCTATTATATGTATCACTAAATATTTCATAAATTCTGTGTTTGCAATTTTTCCTGAGACATCTGTATATTTGTTTCATAATGGCTCTTTTAAAGTGTATTGGCATGTCCCTTGGTTTAAATGGGCTTAATATTTTTCTTAATTAGGAGATATTATCTACCAGCAATGTACATAAAATAATGTCCAACATTTTCTGAGCACATGTCGTGTCAGGTACTGATAACACTTTACATGTGTCATTTGATTTTTCCCAACAATTCTAGGAGCATGTTATGCCATTTTTCAAATGAAACTTGGAGCTAAGAGAAAGTAACTTGCCCAGGGTCACACAGGTAGTATGTATTAGAATCTACTTTTAAATTTAAGTCTGTCCTATTTCCAAGCCTGCATTCTTCATCAACACTATACCTTTTACACATGTGTACAAAAATATATTTAAGTATCTGTCTACTCCTAGGTTAGGTTATGCAACCTCTCTGAACCTCAGGTTTCTCCATTTATGGAGTTACTGTCTGTCTTTAGGGTGACTGTGACAACTTGGGGAGACAAAAAATATATAAAGTACCTACCATTATAAAGCCCAGTACATTTGTACATAGAAGTAATGATGATTAGAGCTGCATTTAGTTTATAAATGATTAATCATAGTGTGGAAAAAATTTAAAAAAATTTTTTTTTTTGGTCAGATTTTAAACACAGCACGAAAACATTTTGGAGCTGGGGGAAATCAACGGATTCGTTTCACACTACCACCTTTGGTATTTGCAGCTTATCAGCTGGCTTTTCGATACAAAGAGAATTCTAAAGTGGTGAGTTTACTTTTAAGTATGTCACTACTTTTTTCCTTTTCCTCAATTTGTGTATTAGTTTTGTATTATGGAAAATTTCAGACAAATATAAAAATAGTGGTATAATAAGCTCCTATTTTCAATAATTCTTAATTTGTTACTCATCCTGTGGTATGTGTTCCTAACAGCAATGTTGGTAGATCACATACTAGCTGAGGGATCACATAAAAATACTTAGAAATAGGGTGTTATAACATGTACCTGTATACTTGGGAAGCTGAGGCAGAATGATCACTTGAGCCCACAAGTTCTAGACTATCCTGGGCAAAATAAACTATCTAAAAATAAAAAAACAAACAAACTTAGAAATGAAAAATTAAACCAGTTTTAATTTATGTTAGAACTTTCTCATTGGTCCTAACTCAGATTAACTTTGCTTAATAAAAGGGCTCAGCATTACATAATCACTTCTCTCTAAAAGCATGTATTTGAACAATATCATGAGCTATAAGTGCAATTCTTTTATGAATCTCTTTCTTTCTCATGACTAATGTATTCAGTAGTATGGATTTGAAGAAAATACCTCAATGTATTTGAAAGTTGGACAGCCAGGTTTATGTTAAGGAATAAACCTCAGTAACTTAATTTTTTAATAATGGAGAATAAGGTTTATTCAGTAGATCTACCAGCGTGAATAGCAGCTTTAAAAAAATATATATTTTTTAGTTGTAGTTGGACACAATACCTTTATTTCACTTATTTATTTTTATGTGGTTCTGAGGATCGAACCCAGGGTCTTGCACGTGTGAGGCGAGCAGCACTCCACCGCTGAGCCACAACCCCAGCCGGAATAGCAGCTTTTAATCTATTTTTATTAGGCCAGCATCTCAATTTCATTGTATTTTCCAGCATGTTATTTATGACTAACAATAAAAAGATAGCAACTAGCCTATATTACAAAGCTGTAATAATCAAAAGAATATGGTACTAATAAAAACAGACCCTCAGATCAGTTGAATAGAATAGATAAAGTCCAGAAATAAACCCATACATATACAGTCTTAATCCTTATCAGGCTGCTGAGGATACACAGTGAGCAAAAGACAGTTTCTTCTATAAATTCCACTAAGTGGAATTAATTATTAAATTTCACTTCTAAGAATTTATACTAAGGAGCCAGGTGCAGTAGCGCCCGCCTGTAATCCCAGCAGCTTGGGAAGCTGAGACAGGAGGATCTCGAGTTCAAAGCCAGCCTCAGTAAAAGCGAAGTGCTAAGCAACTCTTGAGACCCTGACTCTTAAAATACTAAATAGGGCTGGGGATGTGGCTCAGTGGTAGAGTGCCCCTGAGTTCAATCCCTGGTGCCAAAAAAATAAAAAATAAAAAGAATTTATACTAAGGAAATAATTAGACTTGATGAAGCTCTGTGTATATAAACCAGTCATTGTGGTATTATGGATTGTTTCTATAGGAGAGTAACAAATTATATTACACAATTCAGTTGGAATATTTTCTATCCATAAAAATAATCTCAAATAATTTAGTATCATGAAGAAAATGGTTTTGATAAAAACCATTTCATTTAACTCTTTCCATTGAGCTTTAAAGTAGAAAACAAATCCATATGCAAAGAACCCAGTTACCTTCCATTTACACAGAGAAAAAATGATGACATTAACATCAGGATATGACAGTGATTATTGTTAGGTGTAGATTTAGGAATGATTTAATTTTTAAGATTCTTTTGTGTATTTTCCCAATTGGGGATATGTTACTTTTCTGATCAGAAGGAAAAAAAAAAAACGGAAAATATACAAAAAATTGCTAAGGCAGTAGCCTTAAATGGATGTTTTAAGAAGACATCCAGCTTGATTTATCTGTGTGCTCCATAAATAAGAAAAGGAAAATTCTGAGTTCAGTTTTACTACTTTTACTGTTATATTAGACATTTTAAATAAAACGAATATTGTCATGTAAATTAATCTTGACCTGATGGTAATTTAATTTTTTTTTTCCTTATTTTAGGATGACAAATGGGAAAAGAAATGCCAGAAGATTTTTTCATTTGCTCACCAGACTATCAGTGCTTTGATCAAGGCAGAACTGGCAGAGTTACCCTTAAGACTTTTCCTTCAAGGAGCTCTAGCTGCTGGAGAAATTGGTTTTGAAAATCATGAAACAGTAGCATATGAATTTATGTCCCAGGTGAAGATCTGTTCTCTTTTCTGGGTTGTCTGATCAGTTTTCCTGAGTTTGGTCACTTGTTCGTAGTTATGGTGGTAGTGTACATGGCTGGTCTTCTCTTTTTTTTTAACTGAGTGAGTATGTAACTACTGTTTTCCCACTGCCCTGGAACCTCTTCATGTTGTATAGCCATATTGAGTGGTGCAGAGCAGCAAAATTGTTCAGTTACTCAGTGCTGATGAAGTCTAAAATTTTCAAGAGGGTCATGGTAAAAGTGTTTCATGGGGGAAAAAAAGTTCCTTTGTCTCTTGAGTTTGGGGATCTAGGGTTAAACAAAGTTGAGACAGGTTCTTTTCTGCAATTTATCGGCATCTTTACCATCTTAGCTATAAGTTGTGCCTCTCTGAGGGGCAGGATAGCACTCTCTTATATGAAGGGACTGTGGAATATCTTAGAGGATGTGGGTTTGGTGGAAAGTATTCTGGTCCCTAAAAGTCCTTTCTGCTTTGTGTCCACCAGGCATTTTCTCTATATGAGGATGAAATTAGTGATTCCAAAGCACAGCTGGCTGCCATCACCTTGATCATTGGCACTTTTGAGAGGATGAAGTGCTTCAGTGAAGAGAATCATGAACCCTTAAGGACTCAGTGTGCACTTGCTGCATCCAAACTTCTGAAAAAACCAGATCAGGGCCGAGCTGTGAGCACCTGTGCACATCTCTTCTGGTCTGGCAGAAACACAGACAAAAATGGGGAGGAGGTAAGGTTATTCCTGACCATGTGGAGACCGTTAACAGTGATTAGTTACCATGGCCTTGTGCTCTGGAGGTGAAACATTTGGGGTATTTGAATATCTGACAAAGTTATTTTGTTTTATTGAATGAAGTGGACAATCACGTGGATAGTCTTAGCCTGTGGTGAAGCCTCCACTTTGAGGATATCATAACATAGCAAGTGTACACCACTAACTGTTCTTTTAAATATAGCTGTATACTTTTTTTTTTTTTTTTTAGCTAAAAGAATAGTGAAGAATGTTCTGTTCCTTTAAAATAGGAAAGAACATTGTAGTGTTGTGTTTCTTTGTTTGACAATGGGACGTTTGCAGTTTGTTAATCTCTTCCATATTTCCTTGCCCTTTTACTTTAGCTTCACGGAGGCAAGAGGGTAATGGAGTGCCTAAAGAAAGCTCTGAAAATAGCAAATCAATGCATGGATCCCTCTCTACAAGTGCAGCTTTTTATAGAAATTCTGAACAGATATATCTATTTTTATGAAAAGGAAAATGATGCGGTAAGTGAACTAATAAAGTATTACTTGTGGACTAGTATTTTCCTTTCCCACCTTATGAGACTTGATGTATAACAAAAGTTTATCAAAGCTGGGCACTGGTGCATGCTTATAATCCCAGCAACTCAAAAGGCTGAGGCAGGAAGATCTCAAGTTTGAGGCCAGCCTTGGCAAATTAGTGAGACCCTGTCTCAAAAAAATAAAAAGGACTGGGTTGTGGATGAGTGGTAGAGTGCCCATACATTTGAAAAAAAAAAAACAAAAATAGCTGGGTGTGGTGGCACATGCCTGTAATCCCAGTGGCTTGGGTGGCTGAAGCAGAAGTATTTTGAGTTCAAAGCCAGCCTTAGCAACTTTCCACAATGAAATCCTGTCTCTAAATAAAATATCAAAAAAGACTGGGATTGGGCTGGATAAAAAAAAAAGACTGGCTGGATAGCTCAGTTGGTAGAGTGCTTGTCTCACATATACAAGGTTCTGGGTTCAATCCCCAACACCACACAAAAAAAGGTAGGGGTGAGAGGCTAAGATGTGGTTCAGTGGTTTAGTGCTCCGGGTTCAATCACTGGTACCAAAAAAAAGAATCTATAAATTGCCAAAGAGTAGGCTGATTTCTCATTAAGTACTAATTTAGAGTAATTCCTAAATATATTATCCTTTTAGCAGCACATTGTTGGTCCAAATTTGTAGGTTAAATAAAATTTTGTTTTTGTCCTTCTTTTACTGGTTCAAGTTACTCTATTTTAAAAGTTGTTTTTGTTTTTTTGGGACTAGCAAATAGTTGTTGCTCAAACTAGGAATCACGTTCTCATCTGTCTTTTTTCATAATTACTCAGGTAATTGGTGAGAATACAAATTTCTTAAAATGGTGTTATTAAATCTTATTTTTTGTGATACATGTTTGACCATGAAATTATACATACTCTTTCGTAGGTAACAATTCAGGTTTTGAACCAGCTTATCCAGAAGATTCGAGAAGACCTCCCAAATCTTGAGTCCAGTGAAGAAACAGAGCAGATTAACAAACATTTTCATAATACATTGGAGCATTTGCGTTTGAGGCGGGAATCACCAGAGTCTGAGGGGCCAATTTATGAAGGTCTCATCCTTTAAAAAGAAAACAGCTCACCATACTTCTTTCCATGTACATCCAGTAAGGGTTTTATTAAACTAGGTATCCCTTCCATAGATTGTGCCTTTCAGAAATGCTGAGGTAGGTTTCCCGTTTCTTACCTGTGATGTTTTTACCCAGCACCTCCGGACACTCACCTTCAGGACCTTAATAAAGTTATTCACTTCATAAATGTTCAAGTCTGTCTGATCATCCCAAGTAGCATGACTGATCTGCTATTTAAAATTTCTGTGATCTGTGAAGGAAAAAAAAAAAAAAGACATACACAGTTACCTTGGCTACTAATGAAGCTCTCTCCTTTTGTTTTGTTTCATTGTTGATTGTGTATTTTCTTCATTACTGGGAGTACTAACCCAAAAGTATCTGTCTCTTTGTTCTCTAGTCCAATTTGAGATTAATTTAGAAGGAATACTGTATGTGTAATTCAGCTTGGGCTTTCCCCTAAATGCAAGGCCATGTGTAATATTTTCCCTAAAACTAGAATATATTAATGCATGTTTTGAGAATTTTAAAGCACCATGGTCAAAACCAGAAGCTATATTTTGCATATTTGGACTCAGCCATCCATTAAGAACCTATGTTGTCCTCTGGATATATTTATCAAAATAATTTGGTTTTGAATAGTATAAAATAGAAAATTTGCGATCTGTATAATTTATGTATAACCTTCATTATTGTAAATTTAATGGGAAGTGCATCACAATTATGATTTTTTTTGCACCAGTGAAACAATAAAGTTGCTATTAACAATTCTTGTATCTTTTTTTCCCCTTTTTATAGTCTTGATTGATTAAAAGAACTAGTAGAATGCCTATGGAGTTTCATACATCTCATGTTTACAATGAGCTCTGGCTTACAAAATTATGGAGCAAGGCACCTTGTACTCTTTCATTTATGTTCCTGCTGAACCTTTTCCCCAGCCTTACCCTGCTTTTCCTAAGGCACCAAGAGTCATGTAACTCCCCAAAGGCTCATCACATGTATTAGCTATCTACTTTGTAACAATTTTCCCTAAACCTAGTGTCTTCAAACAACAAATATTTATCTCATAGTTCTCAGTATCAGGAATTTAGAAGCAGCTTAGCTGGTGGTCCTGGATCAAGGTGTCTTATAAGATTACCATCAAGATTTTGACTGTGGCTGCCATCATCCAAAGGTTTGGTAAAGTCTGATTTCTAAGCTCTTTTACTTCATTCACTCACATGGTTGATAGAACCTTCATTTCCTCTCATTTTGGGCTTTTCCATAGGGCAGCTTCAATGTCTTTATAAGTTGGTGACTGGCCTTCCCAGAGTGATTCCATAGAGAAAGAGCAAGGAGGAAATGACAGTGTCCTTTTATGATCTAATCTCGGAAATGACATGTTGTTGTTTTTTGCCTTATGAAGGCCATTAAGGCAATACTAGAGGATAAAGGGAATTAAGCTCCACCTCTTAAAGGGAGACATTGCAATTAATTGATAAAGATTTTCAACTTACCACAACATTCAGCACCTTACCATCTGCCCTCCCATTGCCAGATGTCTAGAACTTGTTTGATTTTACAAATCAGAACAAATGTTTACTAAATTATAAAATTAGAAGTTAACAACTATGTTAAGCCTTCCTGTAGTACATCTTGGTCCAGCAAACCTTTTCTGTTCTTTGCAGTGTTAGTTTACAGTGTTAAATTATAGTATTAATTACATTGCATACTGTAAATTAAATTAATTAACACTGTATAATAGGGACTGTGAATTAGGGATAGATGTGTCCATTTTACTTGTATCTTCATTGTAATGTATCTGGAAAGGTAAAACAGACGTAATTCAATACCTGAATTTGAACTCATTTGGAAAAGATGGGTCAAAGTTAAACTAATGTCAGTATAGGGTATAAACTTTGATTTTCTGGGTTGACATAAAGAGACCAGATTTAAAGAAGGAAAAAAAAAAAAACCAAAGCATTGCTAATATTTTTAATTTATACATTTCTTTATTGAAAAAAATGAAGTACCTACCATATGCCAGATATAGTTAGGCACTGAATTTAAGGGTGAACATGATATGGTCTACAGATTAAACAATTTTAGTCTGGTATGAAGACAGATTCATAGTGACAGAACAGCACTGAAGAAGGACTTGGGGGTTGGGGGGTTGGGTGAGTTCTGGAGAGTGTTGTATGGACTTCCCATTACCTCTTGTGAAGTGAATGCCCAACTTCCAGTCCTATTTATAATAGCTAGAGCCAGGCATTTAAAAGAGTAACTCATAGAAGTTGCCTATGCGCAATGAGATAAATATTGCAAAATTGAAGAGACATTTAAAAACTTTTATAGCTCTTTGATGATTTTCTCTCTGTAGAGTGTAAGTATAAAAAGTTTGTGTTTTTAATTTTTATTTCTGGCACTATGGGTTTAATCCCAGGGCCTTGCACATGCTGGGCAAGTGCTCCATCCCTGAGCTACATCCTCAGCCAACATAAGCCATCTTTTTTTTTTTTTTTTTTTCCCTTGAGACAGGGTCTTGCTAAGTTGCTAGGGCTGGCCTCAAACTTGGAATCCTCCTGTCTCAGCCTCCTGGGAAGCTGGAATTAGAAGTGGGTGTGCATTACCACACCTGGCTATTTTATGTCTATCTCCCTTTTCTAATAATATCTACTACATCTTACATAAAAAATACCTGTCCTTAATGGATGTGGGGGAAATCCTTTACAGATGGATAGAAGCACAGAACAGAGGAGAACTGGTGCTGAATGGCATTAAATCCCCAAGATGAGGAGATAGTCACTAGAGGCCACATCTAGGAAGATGATATGAATGGATGAGCAATGCCTCTTGTGACAGCACTTTCCTGACCTCCTTTTCCTGTCTCCAGTCAGCAAACCAATGATTAGAGTCTAAGCAAAAAGTGTGTTGCTTTTTTTTTTTTTTTTGGTACCTGGGATTGAACCCAGGGACACTTAACCACTGAGCCACATCCCCAGCCTTTTTCTATATTTATTTAGAGACACAGTCTCATCAAGTTGCTGAGATTGGTTTTGAACTTGCAATCCTCTTGCCTCAGCCTCCCCAGGTGCTGGGATTACATATGTGTGCCACTGTGCCTGACTAGCAGTTGCTTCTTTACATGGAAATTCATGTTTCTGATTGTTCCCCAAGCCCTGAGACTGGTGGCCATTAGGTGAGTGAACTGTAACACAACTCTGGCCATTAATGACTTTGCATAGATTGTAAGCTTATCCGAACAACTAAAAGAGGAAGGAAGGAGGCATTTAACTTGATGAGGCATGGTAGAATAATTTGAAGAATGGTGAGCAGTTGTAGAACAGTTCATGTGCAATTCTCAGAGCCACTGAGAAATATGAGAGACCATAAGGAATAAGCTAACCATCATAGGCAATGGGAGGGGATTTAACTTGATTTTGTAGGGGTTTTCCATTACATTTGCTATCTCTGTGAACCTAAGGTAATTATATCAAGCAGAATCGATTTGAAAGGATTTTTCAACAAAATTTTCTTTAATGATGGGAATTCCAGACTACATATTGTCCATGAAAGGTTCTGGGTGGAGAAATCTCTGGAGAAGGATGCCTTCCTGTTTGCTAGGGTTGGCCCTATGGGGGTGCCCTGGGGATGGACAGCAGACCACATTTCAGGTGCCACTATCTACACATTTGCTGCACACTTCAGTTACCTATGTTAAAGACAAGCTTCCCAGCTTGTGTTAATTTAAAACAAGTCATCTGGAAGTGGGGTGGTCTAGATCTCGTATTGCTGTTCACTTCTCTATGTTACCAGCAGTGTACCAACAAAACTAGGCCAATACTTCCAAAATCTCTAGAGACTGTTTTACCACTCATTACAGTGTTTAATTAGCTTAAGGACAGAAATGTCTTCCTATGACTAAGCATTAAGTTGTAACTTAAATCCATTTTCACTCATCAGAAAGAACCAAGTACAAATACAAAGAAAGTGTGAAGCTGGGTATGGTGGCTCACACCTGTAATTCCAGAAGCTCAGAAGGCTGAAGCAGGAGGATTACATTTGAGGAAACGTTAAAAGAACTGGGGATATATATCAATGGTAAAGTACCACTGGGTTCAATTCCAGTACCCAAACAAACAAACCCTTTGGAGGCTTCATGGCCACTAGGTATAATATCTAGCATTTGAGAACTTTTTTTTTTTTAATTAAAACTGTTTTGGTGGTGGTCTAGGGATCAAACCCAGGGCTTTGTCCATGCTAGGAAAGGACTCCACCACTGAGTCATATTCCTAGTTAATCTCTTGCATTTGCATTTATCTGGTATGTTTTTATAAAGGTAAGCTATGAAACCTAGTATATTCTGTAAAACTAGGTTCTATCCTTTTTCATGTCTTGTCTTTATTTATATACACAAAAGTGATGAAATACTCTCGTATACTACTTCAAACAAAAGTTGCATATTTAAACTGGTTAGCCTTATCAACAAGTAAAATATATTGATAGGATAGTGTGTGAAAATTTGGTAAAATTAACAAACTTAAGCCTCAGTAATTTTAAGCCTTAGGTAGGATGACTCCACAGGAGATAGGTATTACAAAAACATTTTTTTCTTAACCATTTTTATCCTTTTACACATTCCTAGGATCAATGCTTCTCAAACTTTATTAAACATATAGATCAATCAGGGAGCTTGTTAAAAATGCAGATTCTGGGATTCAGCAGGTCTGGGGTACAGCCGGAGAATTCTAATAAACTCTCAGGTAATCCCCATGCTGCTGATCCAGAGAGCAAATTTTTTTTTTTTAAATTGTAGTTTGAGTACAACCAGAGATACGAAAAATTGTGCTCTATATGTGTAATGCATTCTGCTCTCATATATAACAAATTAAAATTAAAAAAAGAAAAAAGTGATAATATTTTGTTATGCCAAAAACATAAATAGTATGCTATAGCTTTTTAAAAATCCAGATTGGTAATAATAAAACTAAAATTTTAATTTGTGCCACACACACACAAACAAAATTTTTTAACCTTTGTTTTACTTATTTATTTATATGTGGTACTGAAGCTCAAACTCAGTGCCTCATACATGCTAGGCAAGTGCTCTACCACTGAGCTACAATCCCACTCCGGGACAGAGATTTTTGAATTAACAAAGCCCTACCTGGCTTGCATGAAGCCCTGGGTTAGAGACTGCAAAACTAAACATCCCCGCCCCCCCGCCAGACAAAGCCCTTGATGACAATTTCATAGACAATATTTAAAAAATATTTGGAGGAACTTGTTTCATTTGTTATATGGATTCCTTGTTTCCTTGTGGCAAAGACCCAGGTGGAGTGGATAGCAGTGGCTTAGGAAAGTGTTTGTGGTTGCCTCTCCTTCGTGGTGTGTAGGGGTTAGGTAACCTGGCACAAGAGATATTTCTGTCACATGTACATATGAGGGTGGATCTTGGCCTTTCCAGGGCACAGCAGTTTGATAAACGCTTTTCTGAAACTCACGTGGCAGAGTGGGTACAGAATAGGGTTGATAGCGGAATTCAGCCAGAGGAGCCAGAAGGATGTCTCATAGAGGGAGTGCTGGATGCACGTCCCATGACAGGCTGCTCGGATGATCATGAACAAAGTGTAGGGAGCCCAGCACAGGCCAAATACACACACAATGATGGCCAATGACTTGGCCAATCGCTTATCCCGGGAAAGCCGGAGGCGACTGGCCACAGTGTTGGCAAGGTCTGCCTGCCTTTCAGCATTGCAGATGCTTTCGCTGGGCCTGTAGTGGCTCTGCCGACGCCGTGCTGCTTTGGTTCTGAGGTCTAACTGCAGAGGCGGTAAATCTTGAGTCCCAGGAACATCCAAGGAAACACTGTTTTGCTTGGTAGAGAGGCCCTGGTCTTTCCTTTTCTTGCTTCTCCTTTCAGCGGGTTTAACAAAAAATATGATGTGCTTCTTTTTTCTCCCCTGGAAGTTCATCTCCAAGCCATCTTGGCTGGGGACAGTGTAGTCACTCCTCAGAGAGTTGCGCTTCTGAATGTTGATATAGATGCTCAAGTTGAAGTAAGTGACACTGACAAAGGGTGTGAAGAATTCAATGATGGAGGCCGTCATGAGGAAGTACCAATTGTAGAAGAACTCAGCATAGCACTCCCCCCGGGGCAGGATGCTTCTTTTGGCCACATACTCCCAGCTGATGATGGCAGGCCCATAGAGGAGGAATGCTGCCACCCACACCAGTGCCATCTTGAAGACAGCATTCCTGGTCATGCCCTTCTGAGCCCTGTAAGTCACCTAGAAGGAAACAACAGAGACCAGTGAGGGAGTGATGAGGCAGCTTTACTCACTCAGTCTGGTACAGTGAGATGTCGTGAGGCTGAAGATTAGTTGTGAACATGACCAGTGTCTGGGGGATAAGGGGGTTTTATTTCTGCATCAGCCAACTCTTTCCAGATGTACTATGCCACTTCACCTTGCAATAGGTGAAGAGCTTTCCTCGTAGGAAGATGGTCAAGGTCTGTCTCTTTGAACATTAGTATTACTCTCTCACATGTGGAAACATATGTCTTCAATACCATCCAGAATGTTTATAAGTGAAATCACTGGTGAATTCATAGTGTCCTGCAACTGAGCTATTGTACTTCCTTTTCCAACTTTTAAACAATCTCATAACTTTGTGACATACGTATATGGGTGTGTGTGTGTGTGTGTGTGTGTGTATTTTTTCTGGGAATTGAAACCAGGGGTATCCTTTTTATTTTTTATTTTGAGACAGGATCTTGCTAACGGCTAAGGCTGGCATCAATGTGTAACCGATGTGATTCTACAACTTGTATTTGGGGTAAAAAATGGGAGTTCATAACCCACTTGAATCAAATGTATGGAAGATGATATGTCATGAGCTTTGTAATGTTTTGAACAACCAATAAAAAAAAATCCTCAAAAAAAAAAAAAAAGTTGCAATCCTGCCTCTGCCTCTGGAGCCACTGTGATTATAGGTGTGCACCACCTGGCTCATTCCACATTTTTACTCATGACCCATTTAGTCTCCCCTGCAGTTCCTGGAGGTGGCTCTATGTCTCAATGACCAAGAGCAGAGTCTGGAGTCAACCAACTTGGATTCAAATGCTGTCACTTGGAGAGCTGTTTGTTCTAGGCAATTTACTTAACCTCTATGTGTCTCAGTTTCTTCAAATGTAAAATCGGGCAGTATTTTTCCCTAGACTATAGGATTTTCATGACCCAATGCATGTCAAGCGCTTGAATATAATTCAGATAAAGTTCTTAGAACAGTGTCTGGCTTAAAATAAAACCCTAAATATTAGTTAACATTATCATTGGGTGTAAAAATACCTGCAAAGGCAGGAGCATGAAATAAAAAATTTTGATCTTTGGTTTGCAGAAAATGTTATGAGAAGGTGAGAGCCAACTGGGGAAATGAAAGGTGCTTTGAAGATTTGGGAGATTGAAGTTTTCCCCCAACTGCGCTGCCACGCTGCAGACACTTCTGAAGTGTGTCACTGGAGCAAAACACTTGGCTTTCTATATGGGTCAGTGCAAAATATTTAATACTATTAGGCAGTTTCACTTCCTACACCTGTAATATGCACAAGCCTTGCACTGAGAGCAAAGGGAAACTAATTACCAAGAGGATCTCAAGGGAGTGAACCCAAGTGATGTGTTCCTGGAAAGTTAGAAAATGCCACTTTGGGCAATATTTATACTTAGGAAATTATTTTAGGCAAATACAGTGGGAACAGAAGAAGCAATAGTAGGAATGGGAGACAAGGAAGAGCTGGGCTGGAACAATCATGAAAGCCAGTGGTTTTTATTCTCAGCTGTGCCTTATAACCACCCAAAGCTATTTTTAAAAAATGCCAATACCTGAACCCTCCTCAAAGCCAATTCAATTAAAAAATAGATTGAGAACTGCAGCAATAAATGAAGCAAATTGCGTGGGTGCCATAGTGAGGACTTGGAGATGGGGGGCTGGGGGATAAGGGGATGAAAGCATGGAGGGTGGATTTCTTAGACCATGATGAGGCATTGTAGGTATTGAGAAGCCCAGAGTTTGTTTCTGTGTTCTAATTTTTCTGTAGTGAGCATGGATTACTTATATAAAAGATAAAAGTTTTTTTTTTAGTTCAAAGGAAAGTTCCTGTTCACTTCTATCTCATTTAATACTCACCTCTGCCCTTGCTGATTAATTTATATGAGTCTTATCATCCCATCTGCAAAATGGGGGTAAACTTTAGTTTCTACTTATCTTCCAGGGAAGAAAGGACCATATGAATTAGCCATCATAGAAACTGGAGTCAAAAGGCTTTTAACCCCTCATTTTCTGATAGGAAAAGAGACAAGAGGTACAAGGATGTGCTCAAGGTCACACATTGTGGAAGTGTAAGATTGGAACTCAGCTCTCCTGACTCCTGAGTCAGCCTAAAAATTTAGCACTGTGATGAGTGAATTTACACTTGTGATTGCTCATGTGAACCCATTCTGTTGCTGTTAGCCCTTAAAACACTGAAGTAGCAAGTGGACCCTCTCCACCTAGCACTGTTCTGGGGGAGACAGTCATTAACAATTAACTGGTGAGGGCAAGAAGCCTCTTTAGCACGCATATCCTTTTCTACTGGGCCTTGAACTTGGACTTTTGATCTTATCTCCATTTGAGGTTACTTAATCAGAATTTTTTTTTTGGGGGGGGGCTGTACTGGGGTTTGAACTCAGGGCACTCAACCACTGAGTCACATCCCCAGCCCTATTTTGTATTTCATTTAGAGACAGGGTCTCATTGAGTTGCTTAGGGCCTCACTTTTGCTGAGGCTGGCTTTGAACTTGTGATCCTCCTGCCTCACCCTCTGGTGCCACTGGGATTATGGGTGTGTGCCACAGCTTCTGGTACTTAATTAGAATTATATCCGAAAATATGTCTAGTATTGTTTCTGGCTTTGGAAACACAGGGCTGAGAAACAGCTCTGCCTCTTCTGGGAACTTAGTTTGTGAGACAGACAGATCTAATAGAATGTCAGGTGGTGATAAGCCTGAGTATAGTAGGGAAGAAGGAAGAGAGTGTCAGCGCTGCTATTTGAAGAGGATAACCAAGGAGGAGCAGACAGCTGAACAGGGGCCTGTGTGAACTCAAAGTGAGTCTATGTACAGAAAGAGGATACTGACTGGGAGGAAAGATAAAGGTGCCATAACAGGACTTAAGATTTCCATCCCATTTTCTGACAACATTCATAACCACATCTGTATTATACCATGTGATTATAAAAATAAATCCTGAGAAAGGCGAAATTAAGTTGTATGTGTTTTTTGTTTGTTTGTTTGTTTGTTTGTGTTAGCCTGGATCTTGCTCTGTTGCCCAAGCTGACCTTGAACTCCTGGGCTCAAGTGGCCAGCCCCAGCTTCAGCCTTCCAAGCAGTTGGAACTACAGGTGCTCTACCACTGGGGCCCTGCACTGCATCTTCTTTGTCAAATTTAAGTATTAAAAACAGAAGACAGTATTTGTAATCTTGTCTTGGCATCTTTTTCTTTTTCCTTTTGGATAGTGGGGTCCTGAGAACACATGGAAGTGGTATGCAAGAGGTTTCAGCAACTCCAACCACCCAGCCTCCATCCACCTGGCCACCATCCCACCCCACCTCATACAGGTCTAGGTCAAGTCTCCCTCCTACTTACCGCCCTGGTGACAGAGATGAACCTGTCGTAGCTGATGAGGACGATGTTGAATACCGAGGCGGTGCACACCAGGTAATCCGTCACCAGCCACAGTTTACACAGTCCCTTCCCTAACTTCCACTCTCCGGTCAGGATGTAGGGGATGTACAGTGGGATGCAGAAACCGCCTGTGGGCGAAGCGAGGCGGTGAGCGAGCGAGGGTAAACAGCCTGGCGAGCCGTTCTGGCCCTGTCTCCGTGTCCCACAGTGCCCCACTTCCCCAGGGAGATGTCTGATTGCTGGGATACCTCCTACCTCCTCCAGGGCACCTCCAGCCCCTGGGGCCACACTCACCCACCAGCAAGTCCGCGACGGCCAAGTTGAGGAAGAAGAAGTTGCTGCGGGAGCGCAGGCTGCGGTCCACAGCGAAGGCCACCACGACCAGGGCGTTGCCCAGCACCGTGGCCAGCGCCAGTAGCGCCATGAGCGCGGCCAGCAGCGCGGTCACCGGAGCAGAGAAGTGGTTGGCATGCGGCCCAGGGCGCAGCCCCGGGCCCAGCCCGGGTCCCGGCCCGAGTCCCGGGGTGCAAGCATTCCCCGATGCGTTGGGCTCCATGCGGTGGCGCAGGGTCCGGGGCCGCCGCGGGGCAGGCCAGGGGAGCTGGGCAGGAGCGGCAGCCGGGACCCGTGGGAGGCTAGGGAAGTGCGGCAGGACAGCAGAGTGCCGCGGGGAGGAGGCGCGGGAGCCGCAGCCGCGGGAGCCGCAGCCGCGGCGGGGCTAGAGGGGCCGGGAGCCCATGCAGAAGTCCGAGCCCAGCAGCGGGTGCGGATCGGTCGGGTAGCGGGGGTCCTCAGAGGGGAGGGGTCCGAGCAGGGGCAGGCGGCAAGGGCCCGAGACCCTCAGGCTGGACCCTCAGCCTGAGAGCGCTCCTGGAAGCGAAGGCGGGAAGAGGTCTTGATTCTCTACTTAGCCACCTAGAGATCCTGGAGTCTCTGGAACAAAGTTGTTATTATTTCATTTCCCCCAATAGTAGTAATTTTGTTTTATTTCGATCATAAAAGCAACGCTTGCACTTGTAAAAAAGAAATCAAACGATATAGAAAGGCATAAAGTTGAAATGAAATTTCTTACAATAGTTTCTCAGAAATGCCCACTTGGACCGTTTTCGTGTAAGTCTTTCCAGGCTTCCGACCCCTTATAATTATTTTCTAACCCTCCCTTCTTCCAAAGAACTAGGCAGACCATTAAAAAAAAAAAAAAAAAAAAAGATTAAAAAAAAAAAAGAATGAGGTTTGGCTGTCCTAATGTATAATCTGATTTTTCTCCCAAGAAAATAATAAATCTGAACATTTTCCTACATGTATATGGGATAGGGGTCACCACCGTTATCTTTAAAGTCTCTCTCTCTCTCTCTCTTTTTTTTTTTTGTCCTTGTATGGATGAGAGTCTTGGACCACTAGCAGCTGTTTCTACGTTTTGATTGGTTTTGCTTCTGTATTTTTGCTCTATAATTTCCTCAGGAGAAATTCATTGAAGCAGAATCACTGGGACAAAGAGCGTGCAGCGCGTTACTAGGTTGCCCTCTGGAAAAATAGTTGCAATTTATAATTGAACCAGCCACTTGAAAAATTTTCACAGTCGATAGAGAGACTTCTGGGTTTTCCAGAGTTCCTTTTTCCTTAGCTGCTCCCTTTTGCTTCTCTAGCATAAAGAGTCTTTTCCTGTGAGAACTGGCTCAGCAAGAACTGTCAGAGCCATTTGGACGGCTTGATGGGGTTGGGGTGGGGAAGCAGCCTTTCCCCAGAGGAGTAATGGACCCTGGCGGGGGTCGCTTGGTGAAAGGCTGCATCTTAGCACTCTTGCCTATGAATTGGAGCCAAATCTGCCAGTTGTCTCTTCCCTGTGACTTGGGAGTATGTGAGAAGTGGACTGTGAAGGGAGAATGTGACCAAATAACTCTCTGCTGCTGTATTGTCCTATAATTTGCCTCTTGCTGACCAGTTTGTTCCAGTGATGGGAAACGCAGCCCGACCTCATGGAAGCAAATTCTTGGACCACAGGGCAGGAACAACCCTCAGGGAACATTTATTGCTGTAACTCTCCGACTTTTTGAACCACAGCTCACAGCAGGGAGTACTTTTTACATTGTAGCCCAGTGTGTACACGCTCCCCCACATGCCGCAGCATGCATCCATGTACACATTTCAGTAAAGGAAAAAGTTTAACTAAAACCCAACTTGTCTTTCATTTTCTGATACTGATAATGTCAGTTGTATCTTATGCTAGTTTTTTTTTTTATGCTAGTTTTAATGCTGGACTTGGGTCCTTACATTTATATCATCATCCTCAACTGACTTTCAACCTGCATTTGAGGAATGCAGTAATCTAGTTGAACCCATTGAACCTGTTTGATGTATAAGAAAATGGGCAGAATGAGAAAACTCACCCAGGGATACACAAGGAATCCAGGCACAGCAGAGCTGGAACCAAGATCTTCTGCCTGTAAGAACAGAGCTCTTCTCTAGCTCCCAACTGATGCTAAGAGAGACATGGCCCGTCAGGAGATAACTGTCGCTCTTATAGGGCAATGACGCTTTCAAGGACTGAAAAACAACTGCAATGATTGAGGAAGTAAGAATCAGGCCAGCATTTATCTCTTTTCTTGTCTACTAATTGCCTCTTCATTTAGCCATAAAGACCCCCCCCCTTTCCTTTGGTGCCACAGCTAATTGCTGCTAATTAGCAGCAATCACTGCTCACTCTCCTTTGGAGCTGGTGAAATGACACTTGCTAGAGCTGGTAGGCCCCTATGAGAGGGACTGAGGGTCCTCCCTAGGCAGGCTTTCCAGCTGAAGATTGCTCACCAGGAAAGCTGATGGCAGGTTAGATAGGGGACACAAACTGTACGGTCACTGTTGTCTGTATGTACAAAAACAGGGAAACAAAATCTGGCAGGCATACACCTCCCCCTCCCCATTAGCTGTTGAGTGGCTAGCGGGGGAATCAGCCTGAAGAGTCAAATCCTTGTTTGTTACGGACTGAATTATGTTACCTTCAGATTCTTATGTTGAAGCTCTAACCCCCCATCTCACTATTTGGAGATAGGGTTTGTTAAAGCAGTAACCAAGGTTGAACCAGGTCTTAGGAGTGGAGGCCTAATTGGCTAGGTCTGGTGTCCTTGTGAAAAGAGAGAGAGAGACCAAATTTCACTGCCCCTTCCAGGTGCATACAGAGAAAGGGTCATGTGAGGACACAATGACAAAGCCAGGAAATTTACAAGCCAGAAAGAAAAACTAACCCTGAAGGCACCTTGATCTTGGACTTTTAGCTTCCTGAAACTGTAAGAAAATAAATTTCTGTTGTTTAAGCCCCTCAGTCTGTGGTGTTTTGTTATGGGCAATCAGAGCATACTACTACATTGTTCCACCTCTTACCATGTGAGGAAAGGGGACTTTGTCCAAGACTTAACTTCTCTGGTCCTCCATTTCTTCATATGTAAGGGGGATAATAGTAGTTCTAAGCTGGTCACAGTGGCATGGGCCTGTATTCTCGGCAGTAGGCTGAGGATTGCTTGAGCCCAGGAGTTTGAGACCAGCCTAGGCAAGAACCTAGCAAAATCCCATCTCAAAAAAAAAAAATAAATAAATAAAAAAGTAGCTTCTACATCATATGCCTGTGGCAAGGATTCAGTGAATATGTAGAAAGTATATAGCATGTTACACAACACACAGTTAAGTGTTCAGTTCACAGGAGCTATAATGATTACTATTACCCACTTGGGGAACTATTGCCAGGATACTTCAAATCCTTGGTCCATTTTCTTCCTCTGCTCAGCACATCTCAGCAGCCTCCCCCTGCTGGGTGTTCTCAGGAGCACAGATATTTTAAACTTGCCCAAGGGAGGCATAACTGAGAAACCAAATCTGCTATTAAAAAAAGAAAGAAAGAAAGAAAAATAAATCTTTGGATACATTTTTAAAGTGGAAGTAAAAACTATCATTACCATGGTTATTGTTGTTATTTGGTGTCTGGGTTTCTTCCTTTGCTGTGTGAAAGGGGCTGATTTTGCTTCCCCGTCAGGAGGTATAGTGCTGTTACATACATGCTCAGAACAGAGGAGGCCACTTTACCCTGGGGCAGATCTGCCTTCTCCCTTCCCTGGGCTCCCACAGCACTTTGACCACCACATTAATCCTTAAACCAGTCCCTACTGCTGTTTCCTCTTTCCTGGGAGTGAAGTAAGACCATTGCTTTAAGAACCACAAGCTTGAGTGTGATCCTGGCTCTACTACTAACTTGGTAAATGTCCCTGAGCAAATTTCAGGACCTCTGAGACTCATTTAAACAGCCACCAAATGATGAGAAAAATAACTACTTTTTTGGTAAAGATTATTTGGCAATAGGGTCACATTGCATGACATGGAGCTTAAGTACACAGTAAATGATGGTAGCCTTTTATAGCCAATATGTCAGTGAGGTCTCTAGGCCTCATGAGTTGGAAATAAGATTACCTGAACCTTCCACACCTGGGAGAGACTTCCCTAAGATTCCTGAAAATTCACAGATCGTTATACATGGCAGAATTTAGTGTTATGGTTTGGATAGAAGGTGTGCCCCAAAAGATCCTGTGTTAATACAGGGATGTTTGGAGGTAAAGTGATTGGAATTTAAGAGCTGTAACCTAGTTGTTTCTTCCTAGTTTGAATGGACTAGCTGGCTGGTACTGTAAGCAGGCAGGTGTGGCTGGAGAAGGTGGGTCACTGTTGGGGGTGACCTGCTGCTCCTTACCCGCTTCCTCTTTCTTTCCTGGGCACCAGGAGGTGAGCTGCTTTCTTTTACCCTGTCTTTCCAACATGGTGCCCTGCTTCATCTTGGGCCCAGAGCAATAGTGGAAGCAAAAGCAACCGACTATATGGTTTCAGCACTCTTATAAAAATACAAATAACAGGGACAGAAGCAGACTTCAAACAGATCAGCAAGCTTTCCTTTATTCTGCAGTGGAGGCAATCAATCAGGCACCAGAGGGGCTCATTTTCTGAGTAGAAAAATGGCCACCAGTTACAGAAAGAGTTTGAGTTTTATAGTTACAATGAGGGTGAGTTAATCATTAGAGACTGAGGCAGAATGTGTTAGTTTGGACAGTCAGGAAAAAAGTTGTAAAAAGTCTGAAATTCATTTTCACTGGGAAAACAACAACTCAGTGTTCACTGATTATCTTCTTCCTCTGGGACCCAGTGTTACCCAGAGCTTCACTATTTGGTTTTCTCCTTCCAGGACTCATTAGCAATGGGAAAGGGCAAAAGTCCAGGGCCCAAGTCTGGGGCACCACATAGGGTGAAGGAGGCCACAAGAAGGGAGAAAAATACTCCAGATGAATTAAGAAACTCAATGTAAAAATGAACAAAAGTGTAAAAGACTGTTATAAGAAAAACAGTCTGAGTTATGTGTGATGGCTGTAATCCCAGCGACTTGAGGCAAGAGGATCACCAGATTGTGGCCAGCCTCAGCAACTTAGCAAGACCTGGTTTCAAAATTTAAAAAAAATAATAATAATAAAAAGGACTGTGGGAGAATGAAGATGGCGGGCCAGAGGGAGGCAGCATTCTGTGTCACTCCATGATCCAGGTGTCATCTATTTTGAATAGTGCATCCCTGAAAGTGTTAGAGGACGTCTATACAGCTGCTCTCCACAGAAATCACCAGTGCTGTGACCCCATGCAGGGCTCCAGGCCTCAGCATTAGAGCA